CATAAGTGTCAAATGAACACTTGTATGATATCATGTGCTTAGTAGCATCCAAATCTATAATCCACTTAGACATGGCAGCTATAGAAGCTCCTTCACTTGCCATGAAAGCATAATTATTTCCACCAAAACTATCACTAGCATTATTTGCATTTTTTCTATCTCCTCTCTTGGCCTTGTAGCAATTTCTAACAAAATGACTTGATTTTTTTATAAATATTGTAATTCTTTATGTTACTTTTTAAATTATCACGTTGGTGTGGAAAGCTACCTTTGCCTTGTCTTGAGAATAGAGCCAAATCATCACTTTGAAGCTCTTTTTTTTTCTCTTGGTTATTTCATGTACAAGTCTTGATGTGACATAATTCATGGTAAGCTCCTTTATATTGATAGACTCCAATGCCACAATGAGATAGTTGTAGGACTGAGAAAGGCTCATGAGTAATGTCAACACAATTTCTCTATCATCAATTGGCGTATCAACAACTGCTAGTTGGTTTGCAAGTACTTTTACCTTGTTAACATGAGCCATGAGGTCATCTCTTTCTTCCATCTTTACCGTTAAGAACTTCTTCCTTGTCCATAGAATATTAGCAAGGTTTCTACTCTCATAGATGTTGCAAAGAGTCTTCTATACTTTTGTTGATCTATTACAAGTAATTATATGTGAAAAGTTGGCATCATCAAGATTTGTTGCAATCATGCCAAAAGCCTTCCTTTCATGTCGTTTTTATTTCTTTTTCACCTTGACATCAGCATCATCACTAGGAGCTCTTCACTTTCATCAACAATGTTCCAAAGGTCCAATGAAGCCAGTAAAAGCTCCACTTTCTTCTTCCAATGGTAGAAGTTGTCACCTCTAAACTTTTCAATCACTCTCAAGCCCTCACCTTTACTTGAAGCCATGTCTAAAGAAGGGGTGGATCAAAGAAAATCAAGAAAAGAGAAGATATAACTATCAAAATCAACAAAAAGGTGTTGCTGCCTTAGAAACCCAGAATGTCCTCTTTATCAGTAAACTAGTGATTTCACACTTTGATCACTCTCAACTTCACTTATAAGACTTCTCACAAGTCTTATATACTATCAAAACCTCTCTTATAAGGTTTGCCATTCTTTTATCACCTCTAATGTCTCACAACACCTCTTTTGACTATAAGATCTATTAAGAACTTAAGTACATGAAAGTTCAATGTTAGTATAACAATGAGGTAGGTCAGCAAAGAAACACACCACTAATGTTCAAAAATAACATTCTAAAGTGTATAACAATCTTCAAGACCATGAATGCACTTAATAGCAAGTAAGAGCATAACTACATCAAGAACTAGATACAAAAAAGGAATTTAGAAGATAACAAATTCTAACATCAGCAACAACCATAAGATCTACTCCTCATAACAACAAAACAACTTCAAAGAATTTCAAAACTCACAACTAAAGGTGAGTGGGCCCATAACCTATTGAAGAAATAAAACTTTGAAGTCACAACACATAGCATCAGCAAGGTTGTACACAAACAGAGTATAGAATAAGATATCTCTCACTTCCAACATCCAATACTTATATGTTGTAGTTGCTACTCTACAAGACAACTTCCACTCATTGACTTTTATACATAAGATCCTTGGTCCTAGGATCCTTTGGTATCTAACATACCTCGAGGATATCCTATGGTCCTTGGATCCTTTGGCATCTTACTAACCACAAAGGTATCCTATGCTAAATACTAATTATTCTTATATAATTTATGGATATTCCCTAATTCATACTTTATCTTCTTGACTTTGACTCTTGGTCCTTGACCTTATCATATGTCTATAGGATGTCTTTTCTATATACCAAGAGTCAACTCTTTGATCATTAGTAACTTATTTAAGGTAATATCTTCTATAAGGTAAGTTTTTTTTTTACTTTTACTTCAAGATGTAGATGGAGCAAGTATATTATAAAATATATTGAATAAAAAGGCCAATAACTGTTCTATATTATAAAAAAATGGTGAATACAACTTAAACTTATGTGGTGTAATGTGCAGTGCCATAATTGAATTTTTTTGAAATCTTGAGGTGAGCTTGTACAAGTTCTTCAATCTCAAAAAGTATAATAGTGGCAAGTTTTGAATGGTGTTGTTTCTTTAGTTAGCAACTTAGAACTAGAGATAGAAGCAAAGAAAATCAACTTTGAGTAAATGATATAGTTGACGTATTTGACATAGAACTTGATTTTGATTTTAAAGACTAGACAAGGACTGTCAATAATCAATTGAAATGGTGATGAAAACTCAGCAATTGGCCAATGAAAACATAGAAATTAAAGTAGTTGAACAAAGGTAGGAAGGCACAAAGGCAATATTTGCAAACAAAAAAGTGTTAATGAATATAATCCAAAAATAACATGGATTAGTGCTAATTAAGAATGAAATCTTATATAAATATCAAAAATAGATAGAAAAAAGTTTTAAATAATAATATAGCTATTAATAAATAAAAAAATTATTATTTTGATATTGAAAAAAATTAATAAAAGTATGTTAGCTTAGTCAACAAAAAATGAAGCAATTTGAGTTGGCTCATTAGAAAGATTTATTTTTTTGACAATTAAAATGGCTAAGGTAAAAAGATATTTTTGTAAGATGGAAAGGCTTGAAAATTTATAAATTGTATTTTATCATGAATTAAGTGATGAATAGTTCTAATATCAATAAACCATTGATTATCTTTTGTAACTCTTAATAAAGGTGATATTGCAAAATAATATACTTATATAAGATATATATGCATATAAAATAAGAGAGGTATTTCTTTCACATTTTTTTGGTTTCAATATATTTTTATATTTCTTCTTAGCATTGGTAGTTGTTATATTAGCTGAAGTTTTGTTTTGTTTTTGAAACAATTTGAATCTTAGAGTCTCATCTTTTTGCAATGAAAACATGATTTCGAATATTTATGGTCTTTTGAAGGTTGATTTGATAGTGATCATGGTTGCCACTTCATTTTATTTTTGTGGCTAGCAAAGAAGGCTTCAATATTAGAAGAAAAGTTCTTCATAGCTATTTCATCTTAAAATAGAATTATAGTCTTAGTTGTCTATAATGTTTGTATAATCGTGCCATATTGGAATGTTATAGACCTTATAAGTATGAGGATTTCAATTTGAGGTAGAATTATCACTCCTAGAAAGCAATATTATTGAAGTAAAGTTTTAAAATTGTAAAGATATTGTGTTACAATTCACATGCTTTTATTTTTTGTATTATAAATTTTTCTTACAAGTGAGCTTGAATGACAACATCATTAATTAAATATATGTTTTTCAATGCAAACCATGATTCATTAAATATTTTGCATATGCCAACATGAGACAATATAGAGTTATTAATATAATTCCAAATTGCTGCAAGTGCAACATAATCTTTTTTCTTTCATGTTTGAATTTTTGTTTGCTTTTATGGTATTGTTGCATTTGCTTCTAGAATAGGTGTTGGTGTTTTTTTCTTGCTAAAAATCAACTCCTACATTTCTTCTATTTCAAATTTCATTTGTAACTTTTGCTTCCAAATTATTTACCAAGAGCCATTGAATTTTGGCAATTCTTTGGTGGTGAGGCTATTGGAAGCCATTCTCTTGATTGAGGGTCTATTGATGCCCCAATTTCTATGCTAAAAGTCTTTGGCACATCTCTTCATCCCAATTTCTATGCTAAAAGTCTTTGGCACATCTCTTCATCCCAATTTCTATGCTAAAAGTCTTTGGCACATCTCTTCATCCCAATTTCTATGCTAAAAGACTTTGGCACATCTCTTCATCCCAATTTCTATGCTAAAAGTCTTTGGCACATCTCTTCATCTTATAAGCTTTTTGGTTTTTTTAGTTGTCTATTTTTCTTAAACTTATTCTAATTTTTGTCACTCTGGTACCGTATAAGAATCAGAAGAGTAACATTGTGTAGGGTGTTTACAAATTTCTTATTAATAAATGCTAGATATAATACAAAATATATTCTGCAAGGAGGACGACCTCACTGGTCGTAACTCCTCAATGGGATGCGAGGAGGTGCGACTGTTTTGGATCTATTACCGTTATGCATGGCAACTAATTGTAATGTTCTGTTTATTCTAACAATCATCCCCGAAGCTTTGGCTAAATTTCTTCTAGTTCAAGTGTAGTTTCAAATCCTCTTTTAAATCGAACAATTTTACAGAACTGGGTGTAACATACTTGTCATTTGCAAATTAAAAATTGTACTGTAACTAATTGTTGTAACCTATTTCCACACATTTTCTAGAAAAGCTTTCCATCCTTAAACAGTAAGTTCCTGATCAGGCGTGAGAAGTCGGAGGCCTTGAAGTCCCCTGCAACAGACATACAGACAGATAGAAAGGAAAGGGTGCAAAAAGGTATCGCATGCTGCATGGGATGTAGCTCCAGACTCTTGCACGATGAGTCTACGGATGGCTTCGTGAGTGGTTAAGTGTTATTATGGACGGATGAATCAATCACACAGCTTGAGTTGTTGGGTCCAGCGGTGATGGGTGAGTGTGTGGCACCATAGAATCTCTCTCTTAATCTCCCTCTTTTTTTTTTCTTTTTGGTTTTTTTTGAGAAATTATTTCAGTGAATTTATATTTATTTATATATTTATATATATACACATTAATAAACAATTACTTCCAAAGTCACCTCCAATCTCAGTCTTTAAATAATTCAAATATCCACCAAATTGAACTACAAACTGAAGAGAATTCAAGGTTTAAAATATGTTCTCTCTTCCACACAAAAAAGGATGAAATTGTTTATTATGTTCCAGAGCAAGCTATCAATGTCACAAAATGGAACACATTGGATCAGGTTACTGTATTTTGTTCAACATGAAGCAAGTCTTTAGTTTGTGATGTGGGTGCAAGTTTAGGCTCAGTTAACAATTACAAATTCCCTCCAACATAATCTTGCAAGGCTTCCACTCTAGTTAGCAGTATCACACCTTGCAACCAAATCGTAGTACTGCAACTCTAGGTTGTCACATTGGAAATTTATCAATAAATTGTTACATTTTACAAAAAAACGTGAGTAAATGGACAACTCAAATAGAGTTGGGCAAGTCCCTGAATGGAAAAACGATTCTGAGTGCGTAAATATTATAGAATCTTTGATGAACATGAAAACGTCTCGGGTGGCTTGACAATCATTCTCCACTGTCTGACACATTTTTAGCCATTTTCATCAATTCAATTCAAAGAAAATATCGTTGAGCTCTTTCTGCACAGAAGATATTCTACAGTACATACAAGACTTGGTTTTATGATGCTATTTAGCACACAAGCTTTGGAAAAGTAAGACCAACAGGTGATGGAAAGGCATTTTATTGCAGCCATTTCTGTGAATACTAGTAAAAAGAATGAATATTGGAGGACAGAATTGCATACCTTGAAAACAAGAGTTGTAGGTTTCATGTGTTGTAATGCCTCATCAGCACCTGAAATATGGACAGTAGTTCCTAAACAGGCAATCTCAACAACACTCTTTTGTAACTCCTGTGTTGCCTTGAGAGTTCTATAACAAATCAAATGACATAATACAATACAACCCTCAGAGTGATATCCCTAGATTAATCAAAGCAAATTTGCACCAAATTTGAAGCAACGACAATTCTTACATATTCAGCATCCTGCATTCAACAATTTGTCAACCGTTCATGTCTTCACACTGTTTGGAATACCAAATTCACACGCCGCAGAAGTGACGAAGTTCTTGATTTGTGCTGAAAGTATTACTTTGACCTGTTTTTCAGAAATCTTAACAGTCTTGAAGTTGAGAGAGCTTGCCTTGAGCGAATGAAAACAGAAGTCTTTATCATGTAAGTATTTGGTACCAGACTCCTCAGCAACAAATCCGAAAAGCAGCCACAGCATAGCAGAAACATGAGAATTACAGTCCAACATAGACAAACACTACACATTACCAAAAGACCTCAAAGAACACGAATAAAAATGAAAATTTAAAAACCGTGAACAAATTCGATTCTACATTTGGATCAAGCAAGAAGTTTAACGTTGACTAACAAAGTTTTACAGCAATATTACGTAAATATAATAACAAAATGATGAATCATTTCCATTCTACCTGCACTTGCAACAAACTATAATAATGTCACTAATGTGTTCCAAACCAACACTCTTGTCTGCACGTCATCAAATTCGAAGAAATATATAACGAAAGAAGGGGCATTCTCATTCGCAAGAACAGGGAGAACGCAAACAATCTGCAAACATCAGCGTTTTGATTACGTCACAACTGTGTATACATGAATTACACAACAATGTAGGGTGGGAAAATGTAATCACACTGAGCACAGATAGTAGCACATGTCGTGGTTATGCCCCTCGATATTCAAAGTATACCACACATTTGAAGATATTACGTCCGGAAAACATTGAATTTCTTCACCTTGATAAAGTTTCTGACGCTCAATACGTACCTACTTTACTATATATATATATATATATATATAGTGGCTCCTAAGTGCCACTAATCTTTTTGGTCAAAAGATGGTCTTTTCATCTTTATGGTTTTTTATTTTTAGATAAAAATAAAACCACAAAAATGAGATAAATGCAATAAAAAAAGTTCAGAAGTAAAATAAAATAATCATAAGCTTATGGAAAAACTGTAAATGCAACAAATTAGACTATGTCTTTTGTTAAATTTATTTTTTGTAGTCAAAGTAAATGTAGAAGTTTCTAAGCCCAAATAGTATGCAATTTAAACTGGAATTAAAAATATATAATTAATTTATAAAACATTAAAAAAAATCGAATTTGAATCAGTTGAAACTTTTGATATAAATGTCTTTTATGATAAAAAATAAAAAACAGAAAAAAAGTGCAAAAACAAACATTTTTATATTTATCTAAAATAAGGTCAATTTTTTTGTAAACAAAGATAACAATAAAATATGTTAAAGACATGATTTAAGGAAAACTTGCCAAAAATAAATTTAAAAAATTATAGAAAAAAATTAAAAAGTATATATAAATTAGTTATGTTTTAGAGAACAGAATTTATCATATTATTTTTCAAACATAAGTACATTGGATAATCTTTACGCCAAGATTGGAATACAAAAGAAACGTTGATAATATCAAAAACAATTAATAAGAAGGTCATTAAAAAAATTAACAACCATAAGGAATACAAAACAAATGTGCTTCTACAATACTTTCTTAAATCCATATGACTTCTACGAGCAGTTCATTTTACTACATAATATATCCAAAGATACATTCAGATCCAAATAATGTTTCGGTTATTCTACATTGTTTCACATGAAAAATTATCAACCTAATGTACTACTATTTATTTCTATTAACATGTGTATTATAGATTTTTACGACATACATAATGCATTTGGTACCAAAATCTTGCACATAATCCTGTAAAGGTCTTGTAATAAGACTCAAACTATATTATTGTTTTATGATACGAGTTTGTTTAGAACCCTAAGAGTTAATTAAATTCTATTTTGTTACTTAATCTCCATATTAGAGTAAAAGAAATACATTCAGTTAATAAATAATAAATAAAAATTTATTAAAATTGTTCAAGAAAGTCATAATAAACTCTCTTTTTGATTAATTGAAACTATTCTAATTCTTATTGTTATTTGAATAAGTACTTTTTAAGGATAATATTAGTTAATTTATTTGGATATTTACTAAAATTATAACAAGTAAAAAAAACAATAAAACATTTTTTAATGCTACCACTTTAGATCATGGACTTTAATTAATATTATACTAAAATTAATTTTAATTTTCGTGTAAGGATTTTGAAAAATAATCTATAAATTTTTAAAGCAAAAAATAAATATCAACCTTTGAGTTCTAGACCAACTAAGCATTTGAATCAAGTAGTAGACAATATTTTGAGTTTTCTACCAATTAACAAAAAGACAATCAAACAACTGTTTCAGAACTAGTAAAATTTGTTTAAAACTATTTGACTCATTTTTTACAACATATCGTTGTTATTTATAACTTAATATTTTGACTTTGGAAAAAAATTGATAGTCTTGCAACAAAGAATTTAAAATTATAATAAGATTCAAAATTGTTAATTTGATATTTTCAAAAAATGATGGTATGTGGGATTAATTTGTTGATTGAAGTCATACATTTTTAAGTATTTAAGTTATAGGATACATTCACAGTAACTTCCTCAATTCACAACACTCTTAAAACAAATATGTTAAAATTAAATGATTCTAATGACACTTGTAAATTCAATTCATGTTTGAGAAGTTTCCAAAATATTTTATGTGGAAGATGTCATCTATCCATGGTTTTATTTCACTTATTTTTATTTATCTAAATCACATTGATTTTTGAAATAAAACATATATTTTTATCTTTTTATAATTTGCAAATAGTGCAGGTGTTTTATCTTTTATAGAGTATCTCTTGTGCACCCCAAACAAACATGTTAAACATGCGCCCTAGAAGAGATGCTTGATGTTTGGGTCCTTCAACTTCCAATGAATGCACTCCCAGTAGAGTACTATTAAACTTTTTCACAACTCCTCCTTTTCAGAGAATGATTTTTTATTTTATTTTATTGTAATCTACCCCATTCCCCATTAAAACACCTTTTCTTTTGTGGGTACAGAATTTTTCAAAAGCTTAAACATATATATACAGTCACATACACACAAAGCTCTGATTTGATCTTCATCTTTAACGTGTTCATGCCACAGTGTATGCAATCATTATATATATATATATATATATATATATGTGTGTGTGTGTGTGAAGAGTTTATGTATAATTGTCTGCTTTGGAACCGAGCGCAAATCTAGAAAAAGCCCCATTCTCGCAAAGAGGAAGCGGAACAGAGTGGGGGGCAGTCCGAAGATGCGTGAAGAATATTGAAATACTCACCGTGTGGTTGTGTTCGCAGCAGCAGCAGCAGTAGATCAGCAGATCAGCACGTTTGCGGACTTCACGATGTAGGAGCCCCTCTCCCCGGAATCCAGATGGTGCATACTCCAGATCTCCAGCTCCGCTACAAGTGCCGAAAGCCTTCACTGCATTGCCCACTCATTCAAACGACACTCGTGTTTTTAGATTGTGTTTGACTCTGTTCATCAGTCCATGGGGTTCACGGTGTGGCAGATGTGCTCAGATAAGGTACATGCACTATTCGCGGACACAGTATCTCTCGCAACGTTTTCGTTTCAGGCTATTTTCGGCGTGCAATGCGAGTAATCTATTAGAAGATCTGACGTGAACTATGAATCGGTGGATTTCGTTTCCTCTATAATTAGGGTAGACACGTAAACGCAGATTTCAATCCGAAAATAAGTGGCAGATAGGATTTACGTTGTCTGTAGCTGAAGTGCTTCACACGACAGAATTTGTAGCCTAGATGGTACAGCTCAGGGGTCACATTGCGTTGATTTTCCGACATCCGCGACTTCCTTGGTGTTACCCATTGAGGTTACAACACGGTTGCATCGGATGATGGAGGAACATCTGCCGCTGTGACTCCTGGAAAGGCGATAAATCTCCATCGGTGCATGAAAAGCAGTTTTTCGTTGATTGAGGTTACGAATCAACCATGACATGAGCCCGCCATGTTGCCAGTACGTCTAAATTTATTTCCGATTCCGGATTGCGGCTACTAAATAAGTATTCCAGATGAGAAGTTTCTGCATGAAGAAAGAGAACAGCTCCTGGACCCACAGCTGTGACATGGCAACCAAACTAAAAATAGTACGTTGCAATGAACCAGACGAGTAAAAAAAAAATGTCGCGGAATGCGGCTTGTTGAAAGTAGCTTCCAAGATCCCGCATACTGCTCGTGCAATTGCAGTTACCTGCCTGTGGATTTGGAAACAAAATCCACTAGTCAGGAAAAAAAAAAAAAAAGAGGGCAGGGACGCGGCGAAATAGGACGATATTGGAGCCATTTTTTCAGAAATTTTACCGCCAACACGATAGACCATGACGAAGGCAAGAAGACGATTTATGAAATCCGGAAACAAGATCAAACTCCTAAACCAGTTGGCGTTACATTCTGTAAATTGTGCTCGCCAAATCTCAAGGTGACCCAAAACCATAAGCATTGTGCTCCAAAACCCTAACCCGTGTCCAAGCATCACAGCAATGAAAATCTGAATTCAATTTTTTGTTATTAATGTGACAGGAAAAACACTCCCGTGTGCCCATGAAGCTGTGGGATCAGTCCTGAGCAAGAGCGCCATGGCCAATGAGATCGGTAGCAGAGCGATAGGGGACCATTTCCGACGCCATCGCATTGTGGATTGAGCTTCGTTTTCGCCTCCGCTTCAGCCGCACGCCGAAAACTGCCATGGGGATACTCATGGATGTATGATGATGTAATTGGATGGATTATTCTTCATTCGTCGTATTATGCCGGACCTTGTCAGATGAATGAAACGATACTTTAAAATGGTCTCAGTCAAATGTGTTCTGTTAAACTGCGTTTTACTATTGCTGTTAAGTTTATTATCATATTCGTCTGTAATAATCACATTATTATAATTATATCACTATTCAGAATATTTTATCCCTGTTCTAATATTACCCACAAGTGTTTTAAAAATGGAATTTCATCGTGTAATAATTATATTGAGTAGTTCAATTATAGACATGTAAACATGTACAATTTAAACATTTACTACATATGAAATTCATTCCAAACATGTTTTAAACTATTTATTGCTTATTTATTAGTAAGTATTGTTTTTAAAAATATTTTATCGGTACATTATTCAGGATTTTCCAACAATATGCCAAATTGAACTAAAAAATATATTTTTGATGAATGGCCATGCATTTATATTTATATTTTTTTAAAATAATAAACGAGAATAATGTCAAATTGTGGCAAGAGGAATTCACAGTTAAGAAACATGTATAAGGAATTTCTCACTGAAATTGTCAAAAATCATCAGTGTGATTTTGGTGCATTGCTTGTGCAATTGACATCCATAATACTGTCTAAAATCCATGTTTGAAGCGTTTATGATAACAATGAAAAAAATTTTTTTCTTCCGTTTTGGGGGGGGTTCCTTTCAAAAAGTTTTTTAAAATAAAAAAAATCTTATAAGCCCCGGGGGGAAAAAAAAAAATTTTTTTAAATTTTTTGGCCTTAAAATCCCCCCGGGGGAAAAAAAAAAAAAAAAAAAAAAAAAAAAAAAACAGCCAATTACATAATATATTTTTTTGTATTTTTGTAAAGGAATTCAATGGAAAGATTGTTGGAGTAACACTAGAAAGAGCAAGAGAGAATAAATTTACCATTTGCAATCCCATATCCCAATTCAATGTGTGTGTCTTTCTGGTACTTACGTGGATTCATGTGGAAACGTCCATGCTGATCTGGACACCCAAACGTTTCCAAGGACAAGATTGGCACAATCCCCGTATTTTGGTTAGGGTATGTGTCATGTTCCGTGATGGAATATGCTTGGGAAAGATTCTCATGCCCCCTCCTGACTGGCTCATTTTGTTGTGATGTGTTGTGTTGTTTGGTTTTCTAGCACCATAAAAAAACATGAAGTTCAAACGAGGACTGAGAAGCTGGTCAACTAGGTGGGGCCCATTCCATTCCCTTCAATTCAAACGGCCCCACTTTTAGGGTTGAATGGACCAAGTGACAAGATGACTTGGAAATGGAGAAATGTTTTTTCAACACGATGTTTGAGAATTTTTTAAACGGGGAGAAGAGCCCCTTGTGTGGAAATTTGGGGCCAACTCAAATACATTTTTATTTCAGTTCATCACCACTCAAAATTTTCATAACTTCATACTCTAATTCCCCCATTTCAACTTAAATAGGATTGAAAAGTGTTAATAAATCCAAATTTGAAGTATGGACATTTTAGGCAATAGGAAAAAACTTCATGTATTTTGTGGCATGTTTAACTTTGAATTATTCATTAGGGGTCAATATCACAATTCACACGTGAAGAATTCTGCTTGAGTTCTACAAGGAATGTGTGTTTTGTGTGGCTTGATCTCCAAGTCTTTTGTACATAATTGATACTGTGAGCTTCACATTTGTAATTTGTACAGTGGTGCCATACAATAAAATTGCACCCCCTATCAATTTTTGTCAAGTTAAATGTCCAATTAAAGTTGTAAACACAAAGGAAACAAAAATGCTAAGGTATTTCAAATGGATCAGCAAAAAGTCATTTATGTTTACTTTAGTCTTAATTAGGATTCAATTTTTAAAACAAGCAATGATTCAACACAAACGTTCGTAAAACGAGTACACACAGAAAAGAGGAGAACAAAAATACATACAAACATATTCCATCCAAATGATACAAAAGAGGGTTAAACAACTTTTTTGATAGTATGAATGGAAAACTCCTTTTTTTCTCGATCCCTCGGCCTTGATTTGCTTCGGGAAATGCATGCATGACACGAGCATTTGGTGGCGAGATTTAAGAACCCAATTCCAACTAAGAAAAGTGTGCATCGCTTAAAGCATGAACACTTGGTTCTGGAAGAAGAGGAAGGAGAAGAAGCAGGAGGAGCAGAAGGCATCGACCGAGGAGCGGAAACGAACGAAAGGTGGCGACGGCGAGGAGATGACGGGGGTGGGGATGCCGACGCTGCAAGCGATGAAGTCTGGATGCTGAGCAGCTTCATTGCGCACGGTAGTCCGCCCCGCAGTGACCAGACACAGACTCGTCCCTCGGTGTTAGTGTTCACTTGCTGCGAATTAGCGGGCGAAATCGGTAGCGGGGGGTGTTTGCAGCCAACTTAGACGCTGCTCTGTGTAAGCGGCGTTTGAGGGGGAAGCAGGGGGGGGGGGGGGGTGGGGTGGGACGACGAAGCAGGATGAGGCAGAGGAGTCGGGAGAGGGGTCGCATTCGCGAGGCAGGTGACGGTGGCCATGGCTGTGGGATTTGGATGGATGTCACGGCAATGCGGTAGTGTCGGGGTGTTCGGGGCAGTGTGGGAGATGTGAAGAGAAAGGAACGAGAGGGAGGAGGGGCGAGGAGAAAGGGCGTGGAGTGGAGGGACTTGGTATTCGGCGTGATTGTGGAATGGAGGAGCTTGTGGCGGATCGAGAAGTGGTTGCCCGCGGTGGATCAGGTGGTGTGGTTGCTACGGGAGCATCGGTTTGTGATGCATGTCCAGCCCGGTTGGGTCGGTGGCCAGGGTATTGTTGGCAACTAGTAGTGGGGAACTAATTTTTTTTTTTTTTTTTTTTTTTTTTTTTGGGGGGGGGGCACACACAGCGGGAGTTAGGGGAGTGAATGCTTTGTGCTGAAGGTGGAATCTGCTACGAGAATCGGCTCAGGAGTGTTCAGGTTCAAGGTTGGAGGAACGTTGTTATGCCGATGATGGAGGAAGGTGCGCGTCATTCAGCACGGTCGCCATCATCGGATGGCGAATCCAGTAGCGACGACGATGACTCGACATTTGGGGTTCCTAGTGGTCGGGGCCGCAGGCTGTTGTATCCGATGCCTCAGTCTCATTGGTTTCCCCGATCGATTTCGTTCCAGGCATATGTGGCACCAAGGGTGTCGAGGCAGCGCAGTGGGGCCGAGGCACCGTCAAGGGTGTTGAGGCAACACGCTGGAGTTAATGCACTACGATTGCATATCCACGTTACCCGTCCGGTACAATTTCGGTCCTCGGTTGCACACTTGTTACATTTTTTAAAAACAAAATTTTATTTATGTTTTAGAAGTGTGTGTGCGCGCGCATGCGCGGGGTAAGCTGTGTTTGGCTCTAAAATTTCGTATTAGCGTACAAATTTCCTATAAGCAATTAGGATATCCTTGTCAAGTAGGGAATAGCCGTTTACGCTCGTTGTTCTCGATCATGAATGTCTTCACTTTCAATCAGCTGATGTTAATGAGTGGAAGATTGGGTGTTGCGACTAAACGAATGTACGCGCACGAGGGGTGGTAGGGTGCTGTTCCTGTTGTGCCTGCTGTTATTCATTGGGTTTCAGCTGATTAATGAGAAGGAACTTTCCATGTTGATGACGTAGTTGGCGTACAAGCTCACGAAGGATATTGTGGTGACGTTCCAAAACTGTAATCCCGATTTTGCTTTTTCACCGGATCTGAATCCGAAGCGATACCTGACTGTTCCATCGACAATCGTGTCAGAGAATGGCCTGGACAATGAAAAGCACGACCTTGTGCTGTATTTCAACCAAGTCTTGGTGAATAGCGATGGTACTCGCAGGTTGGTAATAGTGGGAATAATTTACTTTGATAGTAAGTTTGATTTTTCGTAATTCGGTTTCAAAGTGCGAATTTTGCATGGTTAGGTCAGAATTGATGTGTTTGCTCTCCCTCAAGTGTGTTCTGGAGGGAAGTAGGGTGCGTAGACTTCCTTTATTTGGTAGAGATGTCTAGGTCTTGAGCAGCGCGCTAAAGGAGATGGTGTTGGAGAATGCCGTGCATGTATGGAGCTTGCAAATAATATGAGAGGAGTTTTGAGTGCACTAGGGTTGAAATGCGTTGGGTATGTATGCAGGTATGTCGTGAAAGATCTGGTGGGTTCTGGCACTTTTGGGCAGGTAGCAAGATGTTATACGGAGGAGACCAATGAATACGTTGCAGTGAAGGTCATAAAGAATTTGGCAGCTTATTACACCCAGGCGCGGTTCGAGATCGGAATTTTGCACATGGTAGGGCTCTAGCTTGTGCGCGGACACTCAACCGGGCGTTTTTTGAGGGTGTGGTAGGGATGTAAAGATGATGGAACGAGGTCGTGATTGTTTGTGGTGGGTTTTTCGGAAGGATGCGTGGGACTTTTTTAGGGTTGCAATCACCGCATGAGCGTGGGTTCGGTGATGAAAACTTAGAGGAGCTGCAGAGTCCGAGCTGTTCACAGACGGGGTTCTAGGATTTTGTAGGTGTTCGGATGAGCTTGGCGATTTCGACGCTGTGAATTAGAAGTATGGTTTGCAGAAGAACAAAATTGAAAGGATGTAAAACGGAAAGTGTGCAAGTGTTTTAGAATTAGACGGGAGGAAAGTTTGAATTCATACTGATCCCTCTTTGAATGAACACGGGTTGTTCTAACCTGCGGTTGTTGACCTTGGTTAACAGCTGAACAGGGAATACGATCCAGATGACCAGTACCACATCGTCAGAAGCCTAGACCACTTTCAGCACCATGAGCATCTATGCATTGTATTTGAGCTTCTTACGGAAAACTTGTGAGTGCATTCTCAAAACTGGTGATTGTCTTTTATCACTGGGTTCTAGATCTTCGTGATCCTTCGTCGGGAGTACGGATATCGAGCAGGAGTTGTTTTGCACGTAGGGTTGTGGGTTGATTTGGTGTGCACGGGAATTCTGGAGAAGCCTGTGGTAGTTCTGTGCCCTGGTGATTAGTCATGCAGTTTCGTTTGCATGTTTTTGCGAAATGCATGTTTGTTTTGGAGATGGTTGAAGTTCTGATCAGTACGTAGTGTTTTTATGGTGTGTTTGTTTTGATACGGGAATGCAGGTACGAGCTGTTGAAAAAAACGAATTTGAAGGGCATGTCCCTTGTATTGGTGCGAATGTTCACTAAACAGGTATGCATTTTGGTGAGATCGAGACATATTGTCTATCCTGAAAGGTAGACTATGGTGTGATTCGCTGTGGGTGTGTTGGTTTTAGTAAAGATGATTAGTAATGCTGTAAGACCGATGGTTAAGGAATGCCCGCTAGGATTTACGGCGGATTGTCTTGTAGGGTTTCTTCCAAGATCAGTTGTCTCTGAGAATCTTTGTTGAAAGAAGTCGCTGTATGGCCTCATTGTTTGAGACTGCAGGTTTGTTCGTTTGGTATGTGTGAAACGTGGCTGTTCTGATGAGTTTCTTGTGGTTGTACCCAGTTGCTGAAATCTCTGAGTCTTCTGCGGGAAGCTAGGGTTATACATTGTGATTTGAAGCCGGAGAACATTCTTCTGACTGAGAGGTAATGGTTATTCAATTAATTGTCGTTCTTGCTGGTCTGCGTAGTTACGTGAACAGTGGATAGTATTTGGATGGGTTAGATGTTTCAGCGTTTCATAAATGATGGAGAGGATGGAATCCGGAATGGCTTTTGCTGGGAACTTCTGTCCATGTTGTCAGAGTGACATAGCCAATCCGTTTCTTGCGATGCAGACGTTTTTGAATGTAGTCTATGTCTTTACATTCGATCATGGAAGTCGGTGGCAGAACCTGCTTAAGCTGTTGGTATCGATTTGTTTTGTAGTCTTTGCTGGATCGAGCCTGGGTTTGCAATATTTATTACGTATATTGTTGGAAACCTTGCTTTGTGCCAGGTGTTTAGAATTTCGACTAAGGTGCTCACAAGTGCCTGGCTAATCGATTAATTTGGTTGGATTTTGTTTGTCTTAGTTTTCGGTCCGCGGAGTTGAAGCTTATCGATTTCGGTTCAGCGTGTAAAGAAGATCGAACTGTATACACATATATACAGGTAGAGTGATGGTTTGCATCCCATGGCTTGATGTTTAGGAGAATATGGCGTTGTACCTGTAATATGGAACAAAAGTTTAGGGTGCTATAATGCTGGAACCACGTGCTGCGGTGTTCCTTTGTATGTTTAAGATTCTGCCTATGCAAAATCGAATGTGTGATAACTTGGAATGGATGCTTTTGCTAACGCGAATTGTGGTTTTGACGAGTGCAGAGTCGGTTTTACAGATCTCCCGAGGTACTGCTTGGTCATCGGTACACCACCGCTATCGATATGTGGTCGTTAGGGTGTGTGGCAGCTGAGCTTTTCCTGGGGCTGCCACTGTTCCCCGGAGCTTCCGACTTTGATATGCTGCTATTTATGAAGGAGAAACTCGAGTATGTTGTGCCGTGATGATGTTAAGATGTTGGGCTTGCTAAATGCTATTGAAATTTTGCTCGGATGAGTTCGGGGCGAAATTTGCTGTTTTAGTGTTGGTTAGAAGGGGTTATGCATGATGAGTGCAGCTTTCTGTGTATGGAACTAGTACTGATGTGTGGGCATGGTTTGGATGATGATGCAGAAGCCAACCCTCGGATCATATTTTGAGGAATGCAAAGTACACGAACAAGTTCTTCAAGCTACTGACAGCTGCTCCTCATGCCGACCACAGTGTCAGCGCTTATCAGCTGCTGACAGTCGAGGAGTATGAAGCGGTACGTTGCCAGATGGTTTGAATTTGATGATAGGATTGACTTGTCTTAACCACGTGGTATCTAGTTGTATACTCGAGTGTGGAGATAGTTTGATAGGGTGTGTCGTTAAGCGCTACTTAGATGAAGATGATTCTTGGGTTTCTGTTGCAGATTCTCTTTTACTTGAGGTGTTTTTGTTGGGGTTGTAGTGTCTGTTGTGGGGTGCCCTAACAGAGTACAAATTCGTGTTGGTAAATACGCTGGTTTTGTAACATTGGGTTTTGAATCCTTGTATGTGGGGGGAATCCATTTTGATTTTAGGTTTTAATTTTTCGTGCAAGTTACGGTAGGAGTGTAATGATTGGATGTGGGTGTGTGGTGCAGCGTCATAGGAAGAAGCCCGAGATTGGGAGGAGGTACTTCAATGGTAATCTTTCGGAAGTGATAATGGGATTTCACATGAAGCCCATGCCAGCGGCGGATCAGAATAAAGGTGGTTCATTGTTTGGTGCTTGACGACTTGTAGTTGCTGTGTTGAAATAGTTTCCGAGCGCTTGGCTGTATGGTTTACGTATGTTTTTCTGAAGTTGGTAATGAGTACTTCTGCACTGTTTTACTTCGTAAAGTTCCTCAGAATGTGGTATTCATCATCGTTGTCATATGTGTTGGACGAGTTATTGTTTTGTGAAGTTGTGGTGTGATTCAGCGCATAATTTCGATGTTCATTGTGCAGAGATGCAAGCTCGGGAGTGTTTCGTGGATTTTTTAAGAGGCTTGCTCGAATGTGACCCAAGGAAAAGATGGACACCGCAGCAGGTGATGTGATTTCACGGCTTTGTGAGTTGTAAAGTAATGTGCAGTACCCAAACTGACGAGATTATTATCATGATTTGCTGATATTTACTATCATTCGAACCTAATCCTGGAAGACTAATTGCGTGAGGTAGTTTGCGTGTGACGATGTTCTCACAGTGAGTTGCTAATCCTCTTTTACAGGCTGCGCAGCACCCATTCATAACAGATGAGCCATTCGTTGGGCCTTATGTTCCTGTTCCAGAGACTCCACGAGCGGTAATTGCTGTGATGAAGTTTTGTTATGGAGCTATATATGATTGATTGCTATATTTTGAAGGTGTGATGCTGTGGAATTCATTAAAATGTGTGTAATTGGATGACTGTAGTTTCTGATATGCGGTGTAATTTTTACAGTCTGTGAATCAAAGTCTTCTCATAGACCATAGTGGCGCGGCGGGGCATTGGGTTGGCGCAGGCCTTTCTCCCCAGGTATTTTAGTGTCTGCACTTCTTTTTGTGCCATTATCCGAGGAATTTGAGGGATAGTGGAGGTTGTCATGCTTGAAACTTTTCTATGTTGTATTTGAACTATATACACTCACATACATACACACAATTTGATCGGTTTCATGTGTGCTTGTATTGAAGTTGATGGAGGGTGTCGTGATGCGTGAATACATTTATTTATGGCAGCAAACCTGTCATGATAGCTGTGATTTGGTTGATGTGGTTCTTCGAATAAACAATCTGGATGCTACATGATTACTTATTGTGCTTTGCAAATCAGGTGGGAGGGTTAAACACAGGTACTCGGTACGCTGCGAGCCCTCATCAACATCCCAGTCATTTTTCACGAGGGAGTAGTCATGGCAGTGTGGGCAGTTTTGGAAGCTATGGAGAAGGTGTAACGATGGACGGCAATTTCGACAATTATATGGACGAACCGAGTGCACATGCGATGGGCATGAGTGCTCAAGCATCAAGGGTAGGCAGCTCTCCCGAATCAAGTTGGCAAGGGAGAATGTTCGTACCATCTATGCATCCGCAACATCCAGCTCTTCGGTCATTGAATATTGGAGCCAGTCCGTCATTCAATCTGGGACAGAGTCCGTCTGGATTCGGCCATCAAAATCTCTATCAGCTGTCCCCTGGTCCTTATGGTGCGTCGCCAGGGTCGTTTCCTTCGTCACCAGCATCTAGTTTCTTCCAGTCGAATGGATCTCAATCGCAGGTAAGTTCCCCGAATTGGTATAATTCAGCTTCGCCTGCGCGGCAACCGGGCAATGCAAATGGTGCGCAAGGGCATTATCTTCGGAGGCGGCCTTGGCAAGGACACCCCAGTCCCGGTGGACACGGACAGGGGTCGCAGCTGTCCCAGCAGCAGGAGTTGGCGCATTGGTCGAGGCTTCAACACGGCAGTGGGAATGCGAATGTGGATGCAATGCCGAATATGAGTTTTGAGGGTCAAGGTGGGGTACGAAGAGGTGGTCCACACGTACCTCACTCTCGGTGTGCTAGGAATGGCAACAGTGGGGGGGCGACGCAGTCGCTGCGGGGGTTATCTTCTTACGGTCCAGGCACGCTAGGTTCGCATTTATCACCAGGAAGTTCTATGGATGGTGGAGATGAAGATTCCGCAGTGAGCACTCATTGGGATCCCGACTTCAGGTAAGAATAGCCGAAGTCGCTTAACCTATTTTGGGCGTGTCCGTGTGCGTGTGCATGTTCGGAAAGTGGACATGGAGAATCATTTCTCAGTCCTTTCACTTAACTTTTACTGTGTGTGTGTGCTAGTACGTATTTAGCAACGATGTGGTAGTTTCTCATATTAGCTGTAGATGTATTAAGTGTGTTGTGATTTGGACGTGATGGATTTAGATGTGTAACTGGATTGCTTTAGTGTCGTGAAGATGATGTGTAGTGGGATTTGTGGTGATGGTTTTGTTTTGCAGGTCAGCAGGCTGGCATGCAGGCAGGTGTTGGAAATGTTTGCATACATTGGATTGCTTGATTGTCGGTGTTTAATTTACTGAGGTGTATGATCTGGTTGCAGTGGCGAACTACTTCTAGAAGAAGATGGTCACGAAGCTGGAGCAAGGAAAGGCCCTGCTAGGTCCAGTGGAGCTGGAGGTGACGGCTTTTATGATGGGACCACGTCGAGGAGGTAATATCTTGTTTCAAATTAGTTTCTTGACCACTTTATATTTTTCTCGAAAGAATATGGATTGCATTTCGAGTCATTTAATTGGTGTGTTTGATTGTTATTTTTGACGACTTCATTATAATAGTTCTAGTATTAGTAGTAGTAGGAATTAATGTACTCTCTGTAGCATGCAACGCGCTTGTCATGGAATTGATGGATTGGTGGCATGAGCTGTGTTTGCAGGACATCACAAGGTCGAGTGAGCACCTCAAGCATAGATAGTTTTGCGTCTTCGAATAGCTCCCAGTCTAGGTACCTACGTCCGAAGCCCGGCCACTTTTCTTCGAGTCAAACTTCTCCTAGCAGGCTTGGACCCCAAATTTCTCATAATTCTCAGCAGCAGCGTTATCAGCAAGGTAACCAGCAGCAACAGGCGCAACATGGGTGGCAGCAGATATCACCAGAGCAAACTCCTCTTCACCCTGTTCATCAGGGGGCCATGAGGCATATGCCTGGGGAAGTGGGTGGTGCAGTTGGCGGAACAGCGTCTTTGCAACAGTGGCAGCAGGCTCTTCTTTTTCAGCAGCACCAACTTCAAAACGAGCATCACCAACAGCACTATGGGATGAATCACGCACTTCCAGAGGCGCAGTTTTCAGGGGTGGTACCGGGGATTTCCAATAGGGACATGAGAGCGCATGGGAATCAATTGCCATCCCCTCAGAATGATAACAGAGTTCAGTACATGGGGGCAGCTTATGATACCCATTCCTCTAGTGCTGCCAGAGTGAATAGTGGACAAGGTGATCCAAATTCGAATGCCGCCGCTGCAGCAGGAATTGCAATGGTAACAGGTATAGGTCATGGAGGTATAAGTTATGCAATGCAATGTGCCCCACATCAGGGCTACTATGGGGGAGGAGAGGAATTGCATCGCCATTGGTCTATTCCCCAGAGCCATGAGCTTTGCTTAGGTAATTTCTGATCTCACGTTTTGGATATTGGATGAAAGGAGGCTGTAAGGTTTGTGTTGCGAGGTGAAATTGGATTGTGTGTGTATCATTTTGTGTTTCTTCTGGCTACTGTGGTACGGTTGGGTGATAGTCCTCATGGACGTTTCGCTGAATGTGATGATGACATAATTGATAATATTCAGGATCAAAGCCCCCAATGCCAGGTCGACAGTGAATGAGGCTGTGATCCGGCGCAGTAGTCATTAAAGCAGCCGTGTGATCTGGCGGCATATAGATGCCTTGTTGGTTTGTGCACAAGAGTGCGAAGGTGCACTGAGTAGCGCTGAGGAGCAAATGGAGGCTGAGGAGCTTGTGCATGTTATGCCCAAGTTGAGGCTTATATGAGACTGATTGTGAATTTCGCAAAATATCAGCGATCATTTATGAACAGTCAATTCCATGCAGGCGTATGGAAATCTCTTCCAGGTATGACAGCAGTTCCAAGTGAAACAGGGGCCGTTGGTGTTGAAGCTCAATACTCGTCGGGTTTATGGTGCTAGTTTATCATAGTATACTCCTAATTGTATCGTTTGTTTATGAAGCATGTAAGTTGTATGACTAATTCCTTGACTTAACTGTTATGTCTCCACTGTGTTGTGTTGTGAAGGGTTCTCGATCTTAGAAAATTCGTCCAACATAGGTTGTTTACAAGTGCAGCTGAACAGCACGTTGGAGTTGTTGCGGTCCGTTTTGCATCTGCATGGTTGTCTGGACATAGGGAATGCCCAGGTTTTCATGTGATTGTGAGCAATGGCGGGTTAGTGTGTGCACATTCCGACGGTGGAATACCGTGTTTGGTGGTTGAAGTAGCATATGCGCTGTAAAATAGCCGATTCTGGTGTGCTTGACAATTGGCTTGCCATTCGGAATGCACTCCAGATTGTCTGAATCAGAGGTGCTGCTCTTGTGGTTATAAGATACCAGCACGTGGTTGATTTGTAAGCGGTAGAGCTGTATTTGATTTATGGGCAAATTCACCTTTTTTTCCATTATTCCCGTCAACACATGCCTGGTTCCATTGACGGGGTGCTCTCCAAATGTCAGATTTCGTTCAACAGCATTCAACTTGATACAACTACCTAGAACTCAATTAGCCATAGCCATGGGTATTAGACAGACTTTGAACCAGAGTCAATAATATGACTCATTTTCAAGTTCCGGTACTGCATGAAGGCTCGATTATGAGCAAAACTTTCAAGTCTGGCATGAATCGGCAGCTCGTTCGGGCCCTGAAAGCCATCTTGAATTTCATGTAGTGAAGAAGTGGGCAAGGTCACAGCTATTAATTGGTTCAAATGAGGTGATAGCAACCTTTTCAGGAATCAATGTAGGAAAATCTAATCATTAAGCCAGCCCCAATGCATGATTGCAGCACATGTTTTCTTTTTGTGTGATCAGCAATGTTGGATTCTGCAGCCTTCATTTCTCCACTCAAAATTCAGTTAAATATAACGTGTCAATTTTAGTTTCTGAAATTTCTTGATCATGTTGGTAGCAATCTGTATCGTCAAATACGGTCAGGGAGGGTTGGCTGCTAATGTTTATTTCATGCCGCGATGATTCTGTTGCTTAAATACTGGCATTCGTTGTGATAGGAATTAGTATTAATGGGCGAGTTGGTGCCAGTTCTGGTTTTTTCTTCAAGTAAATTTTTTATCAACTATTGAATCATAATTGTGTTAATTCTGCACACAAGAAGAAAACAGCCAGTTTTGCTCTTTAATGTGCGTAGTTATGAGTGATTTATTTAATCAAAGTTAAATATAAAGATAATACATTGTTTAAGTTAATAATTTTTTTAATATCTATATATTTAGATTAATATATTATCATTTCTTGTATAAAAATGATGACTTTTTAATAAATATATAGAATATAAATACAAATCTTTTAAATTTTTCATGATGATAATTTTCTAAATGGTTTAGTATAGAGCTTTAATCATTGTCTTGTAGAATTCTTGTTTACTTATACTTGGCTTTATTAATTTTAAGATTTAATAGAGTTACGAAGTTTTTATTTATTATTAAAATCTATGAGTTGAATTGTTGTCTATTAAAAATGACATTAAATTTGTTGATTGTGCAATTGTCTATGACATACTTGGATTAAACTTTTGTACAATCTTTATTTAAGTATATTTCTAAGTAGTATACATCTTTATGACTATAATTATTATTTTTTGATAAAAAAAATAAAAGCTTCAAATATTTCTTTAAAGTTGTTGAGGTGGAGTTTTATAAAGAATAGAAGTTTGAAATTATTTTTGGTTATGATAAGATTAGAAAAAATGATTTTCTTTAATTAAAATTTATGCTTGATTTTTTTTTTTTTTTTTTAGTAAAACATCAAAGATTACATTACATAATTTTAAAATATTATATAATAATTAATTATTGCTTCATTCAATTATATGTTTAAAATTTTACCATAAAATATATGTATGTTTTTTAATACTCAAAAAGTTATATCTAATATCTTTATGAAGTATTGATGTTTTAGAATTGTATTTAAAATATTAATGATTATTTATAAATAATGTTTGATTCAAAGAATTAAATGATATTGCAAGGATTGACTAAAGTGGTTTGTTTGTTGGAATTTTAAAAAATTAGAGTTTGGAATTTAAAAACTAATATAGATGGTATTTTTGTTGCAAATAAAGCCTCTATTTGTGCCTTTACTAGTAAGCGGACAAAAATGGCATAGAAAAGTAAACACAACCATAGACATACATTCCTAAAATAAAAAATTATCTTTATTTTTTTAGGACTTGTTAAGTGGTTATTGTCACTTGGACTTGAATTAATTTGATTGTGGTTAGAAGTAAGTTTAGACTTTTGTTGAGAGGCTTTATTAGACCTTTGTATTTAATTATGCTAAATTATATTGGTTGAATTTGACATGTAGGTTAAAAAATAAAGTTAAAAGAATATGATGTACTTATCATAATTTTTTTTATATTTACTATATGATGATTCTCTTTAGGATCAAATGTATAAGTAAAAGATTATTTTATAATAAGAATTGCTAAATAATCTATAAATGTCTACAAATAATTTGTTTGTAATAATGGACAACATTCAAGTATATAAGTATGAAGTTGCTTTATAGCTACATTGATAATAAAAATGTAGCAGAAAGACATTGATAATCCACCAAAGATAAATAATTAAGTATTGTTACTACTAATTTACATTAAAATAGTTCTAATGATAAAAAATATTAATTAATATAATTTTAAAGATGATTAATTTTCTATTTGTTTTGTTATAAATGGGTAATGCTACAAGGTTTTAATCTTCAAAGTCCCTTTTGAAGGTGATAGCATATGTTCTATTTTAATGATTGAAAATGTAATAATTTCATCCAAAATTTTAAGTTAAAGCATTATTAAATAGTGAGATAAATTAAAATTTATAGTCTTTATTAGAAGTAAATATTAAATGAGATTTTTCTATGATTATTATGTAATATAAGTGAATTGTGGATTAAATGTAATTATTCTTGGCTTGCATAATAAATTTAACAATATTGTATTTGTTTTAAATAATATATCCTAAAAGTTTTTGGAAAAAATATGTAAGAGAATGTAAAGCATATTATTATCACTAAAAACCAAATTAAGATTTATTTTTAAAAATAAACTACATGATATAGTACATTAAATAGAAATTAAAATAAAAAGTTCTAAAATTCTAAAATTTTACTTAGTTATTATTAAAATAAAATAAAATAAAATAAAAATTTCTAGGAATAAAAAGTTAAAATTTACATAAAGTAATTCACAAATTTAATAAGGTCTTATAATGAGGGTCATACTCCGAGTCACAAAAATTCAAGCTTTATGCAAATTAAAGTCTGAATAGACATTTGACAACTCATTTGATATTTTTAATAGAATGATCTTCTACAATTGTTAAAGAGGGTCACCTTCTCTTAGTTGACCTTTTAAATAAAGTTCGTTAATATTTATATGAGAGCTAAAACTACTGGTGTATAAAATTAAAATAGAAAAAGAAAAAGAAAAAGTGTATTTAGTTCTATAGTGCTTGGTTTAACTGTTGATTTTATCTGCTATTCATGTCTATTCTGTTTTTCATACTTATACCTTAAACAACACAAAATTTCATATTAAAACACAAGTTCATGATAACTAAATCTATCATAATCAACTATGTCTAGCATTTCAATGCAACATATTAGTGTATTTCTATTTCTATTTTTAAATCCTGAAAATAAAGAGTTCAAGATTTGATTGTGGACTGAAATTGTGAAGTCAACAAACTTGATGCATGCCATAGTTTTCATGTGTTGTACATGTACACTTATATATATATATATATATATATTAGTGCTAGGTACATGACATGTCATTTCCAATCCAAAAAAGAATGTAAGGTAAACTGAAGAAGATAATTTATTATCAGTGATTCCCTCTCCTTGCCACTCTCAAGAGCAGCTGAACACTCTCAAGGTAACTGGAAACCACCATCGCTCTTATAATTCCAACCCATTTTGAGTGGAAGTTGGAACCTCCCAGAGCCAGTGGAAGCAGCAACTGAGAGAGTTGACACCGAACACCAATTGACACCAAGTTCGACATAACATCTCTCTTGCTGTGGGGTCCCCATCAACCAACAGACAAAAATGTGATCTGAAGTAACTCCAAAACACGGTGGCCGCGAGCCCAAGGACCAGCAAGTTTTAAATAAATGCAATGACTGGAGCACTTGAATTCTGCTTTTGAACGGTCCGCTGACAGGCTCTTCGCACTAGCAAATTGTGGTATATCACTTCTTCCAGAGTTGGTGCTGAGTGAGTGCTCCGACTTTGGTTTCTAGTGTCATCGAGGTGGAGATCCTGGAATGTGCTCCTCAATCAGACACCGCAACTTTTGCCACAAATTCTGACACTAAGGCGTGCATGTTCCGAAACAAACAGGAGGTTTGTTTATTCACTGAGCTTCAGATCGTCTTCTGCTTGCCAGTGAGTAATACCCAATTGCCATGAGTCGTCTGGAAGATCTGCACGCAGGATACACAGCCATGACAAGGAGCAGAACTCAGCTTTGCGGATTCCAGACCTCGGCGACCATGTCGAAACAATCGCACTGGTGGGGCTCAGAGATGGCAGTTCAAAGACGTTGTTGGCTGAAACCGAGAATTGGGATTCAGGTTTCCGCGATGGCTTGCTCGTAGCTAGGAATCTGCAGTTTCACTTTCAGTAGAGGCTTTCGTCTCGCTGCTGCACAAAACTTGTCCATGGTGCTCTCCGAAACCTGTCCGTTGTCATCGATGCCTGCTAACCCTTGAAGTTTTCGGATGTCGCTACTTACTGGTGACTGCCATGGAGCGTCCCACCAGGTGTATGGCAACAGAGCCGTTCGGGCACACTGCCTTTCCTGGTTCCTGCATCCGAGCTTCCCACCAAACGGACGCCAAGTGTGGCCCCACCCGGACTGACTTGCCAATCCAGAAGCTAAAAGTGGGGCTTGCAGGCTGCTGTAGTAGGCACAGACCGGGCGAGAGGTGTCTAATTCGTTGAGGGTGTAAGCATTTGCAAGGGCTGCCGCGAGCTGAGCGTATGTCGTGCTCACGCGGCGGTATGCGCCGGATACGACCGCGGTGCGAGCACGAGCGGCGAGGAAGAAATCCACCATGGCCACCCAGCGCGGCATCTCGCCCCAGTCTCGGATCCGTTTGCGCGCGGGGAGACCACTGTTGAGGCTGAACGCCTTGCTTCGATTCGCGATTTCTTTCGCGTATGCCATGTAATTGAATCGGACAACATCCACTGTCTGTCCTAAGGATTCTCGCAGCGCAGGGATGATGGAAGGGGTGTCCGTCACCACCACTACCCTTGGGCGTCGTCCCCTGCTGGCACCATGAACATGGTTAGCATTCAAGAGTGTCTGGGCAGCTAAAGAATTACTTCAAGCGGTTCTGAGAATTTGTAACACCTGCTGAGCAGCTCCGAGGAGATTTTCTGCCGAATGCTAGTGATGCAAGTAGATGCAGCTGCTGTTCCCAGCCGAGATTTGCTGTGCAGCATTCGGAGGTGAACTGTAATGTCAGGATCCGGCCCTCCCTTCAACGCCCACTGCACAGCTTCTTCAATATCAGCATTCGGCGCTATAAAAGCTCGAAACAGTTCTCCAAAAGTATTGGGGCGGGAGTTCGGGATAGCAGGGTTTCCCAAGAGCTTAGCAGCCGCCGCGCGCATGACGGGATGGCTGCTTTTCAAAAGCAATTGTATCGCCCCTGGGCCACTTGTACCTTTGAATTGGAAGATCGGAACCGTGAGAGAGGTCCAATCATCGCAAATGCACCTCGTGCGCCTGAAGCCCTTCTCCAGAGAATCAGTCTGTAAGATGAGATGGCGGTTGTATTTCCCTGCACAATCGTGTACTGCCCACAGACGCCGCACCTCTCTCACTGTGAATGTCTGGTTTGAAAATTCCAAATAAGCTCCAAAAGCGGGTCTCGGCCTCTGTTTGGGTCGCACCACGTAAGTTGGGTTGGTGCCTCCGCGCTCGGCTGCAATTTTTTTTTTCCAACTATGCGTTAGTTTATACCTTTGCTGCATCATGACTTCCAAGTAGGTTTACAAGCTTCTGTGACTTTCTTAGGGTTGGTACCTATGATCAAAGACCGGTTGAGCATAACAGCGAGTCCAGCTGCTGTAAGCACCTTGTACATATTGTTGCCGAATCCATCTTCCAACGCTTGCCCTAGCACAAACCCACGTCGGCAAAACTCCCCTCCTGGAAGCTTGCGTACCCGTTCTGCGCCATGCTCGGCAATGAATTCCCGAATCATGGCACGGACCCGCAGGCTTGAAGCTCTGGTTTCCCCAACTGTTTCAGCTCCCATCTCTTCCGCTGTTGCGCATTTCTTTGGCGGTGTCCAATTCTTCGGGACAGCTCTGGGGATGTTCCAGTCGTTGTCAGACGCAGGAGTAGTACTGGTCTCTCTCAGCTCGACGGCTTTGGATGCTTCCGTGACTTGATTTAGAAGGGGCAGCGGCATATCTCCCGTCTCATCCACTGACTCTCGTTGGCTTACCCTACTCGACGCTTCATTGTCCTCGACATTGGAATTCGCATTGGTTTCAGAAACAATCCCACTTCGGTTTGGCAAGCCACTGAAGCTGGTATCTGTATTTTGCCAATCAGGTTCCAGTTCTTCTTCAATCTCTCTGTCGATCTCTTCCTCATTGTTGACGGCTATAGAAACATCAATATCTTCTGAACACCCACACGAGAATTAACAAATTTTAAACCGTTGAACTGTCAACTGACGCTAATTGAGTCGAAGCATAAATGACACAAGAGTGAGCAGGGGCATTACATGGTCGTAAAATCAAAGGATTGGAGCTCACCTGAGGCAGAGTTGTGAACTTTAGAATTCACCATCCAATCCATGGATTGATGGTCTGACGGATCGGATGGATCCACTAAAACCTGTTCAGTATCGTTCTCCGATTTAGACAGAGTCATGACGTTTTCTACATCTAACACTGCTGAATTCGAGTATTGATCTGGCTCTATTCCAATAACCAGCTGAGTATACCGCACATGCTGAAATAGGACGATGATGCAAGCGCACAAAACAAAAGCTCCGAATATGGCTTTCTTTGTGAAACCAGCGACGCCATGGCCTTTGGAGGCTGCATCGCTCCTCACAGATGGTGCCATGCTGTCAAGCTCACCCGCATCAATATCTCGATGAATTCTCGTTAGAATTCAATCCTGCAAAAACAATATACAATTAACATAGTAAAGCTTCAAGTGTTTCGAAGTACTGTGATCTCTGAAAATTCCCTTATGTATGCAGCTGGTTACAGAAATTTACATCACTCCTGTCGTTGAGGAAGGACGGGAGGAGTCTCAGATTTTCATAACATTCTGAAAATTTACGTAGACTTTGAATTCATTTTCAAGGTGTCTCACATCGGTGTAAATTTATCTTCTATTTCCTTTAAAACTGTGGGCAGTTCGTATCTATCCCTCAAACATTTACAAAGATCTCGTGTTGAATATATACGTGCCTTTTCAATGCAAAATTGTTTATAACAAAAAAAATGAAAATCTTCTTCAATTTTCCATTATCTCAAGCCTCCTCTTGGCTCCATACTTGGACTACCTCAACTGTTAATGTTAAGCTGCCCTAAATTTCTTAGCTACACATACAAACAAACCAGCAGGGCTTTCTAAGTTTGGAAGCTCAGACGACCCGTGACGACAGCTGGTCAATAGTCAAAAAGACGATCACGACGTGGATCTAATACAAGGAGAATAAGGAAATCTTGCTGCTTTCTTTGAACTGATTGCTTACTCACTTCGGCGCTCTTTACCGATCCCTTTTACTGAATATACAAATCCCTAGAAGCTCGGTGGAAGCCGCTGCATGACCTCCACCTGTACTGTACCGGCTCAAGATTATTATTATTGATCACCAAGACTTGGATATAGCGATGCGTATCTACAAACAATAATGCATCCTGCGCCACTTAATGTAGTCGGGACTTATGGGGTCAGGGACAAGGTACGGAAATGATAAAGCTATCAACCTGAAGTAGCTCCAAAAATCTCACGAAGAATTCAATCGAGACATGGCAAGCCTGTTCAAGGAGAAGGAGGAGCTCACCGCTCCAAAAAACCCAAGAGTGATCAAGCGGTCTGTGGGAACGCTCAGTCATTCACCGAAAACGAAAAGAATCGACGTGAAGCTCGAAATCCTAACTGTTGCTGAAGCGGTGCCGTGAAACAACAGGTTCGAGGGTGGGTAGTGCGGCGACTGTGGCCACGTCTCTAGTGGAGGAAAGTTGTGACGTCACGATGGTTCTTGGCGAGGGCAGAGTAAAAAGCGTAAACAGCGATGCTGCAGAATCGGAGCGGACATCCCGATCTTCTCATGACCGTGGAATTTTGCAGAGCGTATGGTTCTAATTAACAGGAGAAGATATGGGAAATAAGAAGAAACCAGACTAAAGAGCAGAACGGATTAAGTACCTTCTTTTGGATTCTCGGTATCCAACTGCTCTTCCAATCTGATGTTCCTCACAAACGGCAATCCCACATGGCTAGCTCGTGCTTCTCCCCACTCTTTCACAGGCAATCCCAGCCTACTGTGAAAACCTCCGGTTTTATTACTACAACGATAGATCCCGCCTCTTCAAAAATTTGAACAAGTTTCCTCATACCACTCAGTTGATTGACGATTTTGAGTGAATTGCAAGGACAGCCACATCCCCATTATCCCGAAAAATGCTCCATCACCGGATTGTTTACACAGACACAGAAACCCATGCACCGACAAACACACTTCCAGCTGCACAACACAACGAAGAACAAACCTTGAAAAGCTAAATTTTACTCCTCGTTGGAAAGAGACCACGATCACGGAAAGAGAAGACGGAAGCGTTGATGGAGAAATGGCAGCTGAAACAATCTCTTGGGTTGGGGCCGTGCTCACTCCATAAAATTGCGTAGAGTATTGTGCAGTTTGTCATACGGACCAAGCTGGGGCTACCCTTTCATCGTTTGACAGTGTGATGATTGGTAGACGACGGGTCAGGGGCAGAAAAAAGGAAAGCAATACGACGTGGACACGAGACAAGGACCAACGCTTTCATTGTCCGAGCAAACGAAATTATTTGACTTTCGATGGCCCAGTGTTTATTTTTATTTTTCATATTTTCTAAAACACCGTTCATGACCCCACAATCGGGTGAATATACTCCAGCGACGAGGGGTAGTAGTAACCTCTGATCACTGTGACTGTCTCGGCGCCTTCAGACTCCAAACCTATAGTAAGCACCCAAGACGAGGCGTTCCAAACTTGGCGAAGTAAAGTTAGTGGGATTTACTGTGCATCCAGGAAGCAAGGGCATCGCTCGCATAGCGCTCCAAGCTAGGTTGCGAGAACAGCTTCTGCACTGGTTTGTTGCTGCAGCATTATTCTAATTTATACATTGTATATGGTGAACAAAAAAAACAACGAACAAATCCTTGCAACTGCAAAGGAAAGGACGGATTCGTCCTGTGCCGTTTGTTCGTAGACGATTGTCGACAATACTGAAAATGGGTCACTGTCTGCTATGAGATTCATGCCAAGTCGGTGGCCACTTGCAATGCTGACGACATTTCATGGTCATCAGACTCAGATCCATGCTCCATTTCAGCTAGTGCAGTGTTTCAACCTTCGTCACCACCAATTCTTTTTGCCTCGAAAATCCGGAGCGATTGAGTTGTGTGCCGCGATGATCGTGAGCACATTACGTAATGGAGCACTTCGGGCTACGTTGAAGAGGTTGCGTAGATTGATTGAGTAGTTGTTTTGACACAATTAGAGGAAAAGTTTTGCATAAACGAGTGACATTATTGACAAAGCTATGGATAGTGTAGTGAGATAGCATAAGTTCTGATTAAGTAGAATTTTGTTAGATGTTTAAAATAATATTAGTACTGATTAAGTAGCATTCTATTACATGTTTAGAATAGTAAGGGAGTTGCCGTTGCAGTTGGTAGTTGATGCCTTTTACAAAAGAGCAAATTTCAACATCTTGTGTTTTTAGAGGTTTTATATGTCTTTGTTATGTGTTGTTTTTTTCATGAATGAATTTTATGCTAATTTTCTATAGTTAGTCATTTAACATTAAATCGTGTGATTTTATTTTATAAGAGATAAAATTTGTTACTTAAAATTTCTGTTGTTATTCTTGTTTAAATGTGCTACATTGCCAAATTTTGGAATAGTAGTCATAGCTCACTAATGGTTATGAATTGTAATGATATTTAATACTCAATGATATATTTTTATGAAGAGTTTCAAAGAATGGTTTGTTTTATATCAAGACAAACAATTCTAAATATTAGTGCATTGAATTTATTTCTTTTTCTTTGAACAAATTTATAATTCTATAATTAGTAAAACCTAATTCTTTTGTTCATGTGGTATAAATAAAATATTATTCTAATTGCTCCTTATACATATTCATATCTCTTTGTTTTTTTCTATTCATATGTATTATGATTTTATTTGAAAATAAAGTACAAAAATATATAATTTTATAAATTACTTATCTAATCTAAGTCTCAAGATAATTTGAAGTTGTTGTACAATACTTATTTGATACCAAAAAAATATCTTTTACTAATCTCTTATTTAAAAATCTTTCTTTCATTTTAGTTGCTAAAAAACTTCTATATCAACCATCTTTTTGCTTTTGCTACAACTTTGTAATAATAAATAAATATATAAATCAATATATATATATATATATGTATTGATATTTAATTTTTCAACATTATTTTATTATAAATCATAGTAAAACTTTTAAATTAGTAGTGCTCTTACTTTTATAATTAACTTGCTATTGCCATCATAAGATACATATGTTATACACAAGGTACAAAAACAAAACAATAAAATTCTCTTTATATATCTTACTATTTCATTTTTAGTCTATTGCTTCTCTTGCTAATACAAGAGTTTACTTATTTAATTCTCATTATTTTAATATCATAATATTTATATATAAAAAATTATTATAATTTAATTATTTATTCTCATGAAAATTAATTTGATACATATCTTAATCTATCACTTAAAGATCTAAAATTCTTCTAAGAATAATAGAAACAACATATTTTTTGTTTTAATGTTTTTCAACAACCAAATCTTTTTAATGTGATAACTTATTTAAAATTATCCAATACCTTATTTCATAAAAAATTATTAAGACCAGCTTTGCTTATTTTTTTGCTTATATATTATAACTCAAGATTAAAAAATAAAATAAAATAAGTCAATGTATCAACTATTCAAATGTTCAATTGTAAAGTAAAGATGAAAACAAAGCCAAAATTGATGCAAAGGAGTATATTTACTGTAAATTATTTTTAACAGTTTTACTTTAGTTACACACTTAGTATTTACAACTATTATTACAAACAATCTCATTATTGCCATAATAAACTTCTGATATTTAGGTATTAAGTAAATTTATTCAAAAAAAAATAAAAAAAATAAAAAAGTAGAAGAGATATGTAAAATAAAATAAAATAAAATAGGGTATTGAGCACATTATCAAATAGAGGGCCTTTTATATAATAATGTTTCATAAAAAAAATGATTTAATATATTATTAAAGATAAATTCTTTTGTACGTCAAATATCTAAGCTACAAGAAGAAAATCTTGATTTTGTGAGGTATCTTAGAAATTTAAAAAACCAAGTATAAAAATCTCACTTTAATATGTAATCGAATAGAGGTTGTACTCTAAATACTAATTTGGTGAATAAACATTTCTTTACTAGAGAAATACTTTCATAAGAAGTTATTTTTAAATCTGAAACTCAACTCTAGAATATGTAAAATAAAAGATAGAAGTGATTAAATGTCTTAAGTTTATCATCAATTAAGATAGTAAGAAGCAAGGCACAATAAAAAAAATTAGCAAGTATCAATATTCTATTGTATTAGTTGAAGAGAGAAACTAATCAACAAACAAAAAGAATTAGATTGAACTCTTTCCAAAGAGTGGTTGGCAATTGTATTAGAAATGTAGAAACCATAAAGGGCAATTTTAATGAATTTTAATAATATTTTTTAAAAAACTATCTTATTGAGAAGATATAGAGAATAGATAAAATATATAAAATAAAAAATAAAAATAAAAAATAAAAAATTAAGGAAAAACTTATAAGAAACCAATTATTTAAGATATAATTTTAAAAATCATATTAGCAAATATTTCTATACATCAAATTTAATATTTTCTTATAAAGGCAATTAAAAAAATACATATTAAAATATTAAAATATTCTTGATTTTCTTTATATAAATTTCTGAATTGTAGATTTTATCAATGTATTACAAATCACTTTTATTATGGCTTTTTTATCAATACAAAGATTCTTCTCTAAAATTTGACGTAGTCTAGTACTTTGTGTTATACAGCTATTGCAATCATAATTATATTATCATATTACTAGTTATTTTAATTTTATACAAAAAAATAATATTTGAATTAAAAGAATATCATTCTTGTATCTAAATAAAAAAATTATATATAGATAGATCAGAAACATATATTTTTAAAAATTCTAAAATTAGAATCTTTTATCTTTTTTATTTAAGATATTGCAACAACTTACAAGCTTGTAAGTCTATACTGTTTTTTGAAAAAAGCCATTTTGAAAGTAGGTAACACTATAACATTAAATTTTAGTAATTTTAATCTGAGAAATAGTTATACCTACCACAATTACCAAGTTTTGCAACTCTTAAAAAATATTATTCTTTATAAAAAAAAACTGTATCATTAAATTTTATTTTTAATAATATGCACAAGTAGAAACATTCCTATTTTATTATTATTATTATTATTCATATTTTATTATAATATATCATTATTTGAGTCATTTTAGTCATTAAAAAGTATAAAGCTAAATTTATAACAAATGTTTTTTGACATGTCAAGTAAAATATTCTTGTATTTACTTCCTTCAATTTTTAATTTCTTTTAGATAGTAGATTTAGCTTATTAAGTAGTGATTTAATGCTACTACAATAATTTCTAAGTTTTTCTTGCTATTGGTTTTTATAATTTGTGTGTATATAATCTAATCTCAAAAACTAAAAGACAATTAAATTTTGGCCAAAAACATTTTTTTTTTAGTCTTGTTGCATAAGATCTTCTATATCATCAAAGATTACCAAATTATGTATTTTTTTTATAAATTATGTTATATTTATTTAATACTTTATTTAGAAATTATAAAGTTTATTCCTTATATTTGAATCTTTAATTTTCTATAGTTTATCCTTTTCTTATGATTTCTAATCTTCTTTCAAAACGATTCTTTAATATATTAAAATAAGATTATCAATAAGATTCACAATCAACATCAAACATTAATAAAATTTATAATTCAATCTAAAAACGACCTTGTTTAATTTATATATTTTCTTCATACTTAAATTATATATATAAATACAACAATCAATCATGCAATATTATTTAAATTCTTATAAAGATTACAATAGTTTAATTAAGATAAAGCAGAAATAAGAAAGAAAGAAATTGGTAAATAAGCCATAGAACAACACTCAATTATCTCAATTTTCTTGTTTGTTTGTTTGTTTGTTTTTTTACTAGCATCCAAACATAAAATTCTCTATTTAGGATTTAACCTACCAATGTTTTGGTACCGATCTACCTACTATTCTTTGGTAATTTTAAGATCATTTAAGAGTAAATAAATCTCCAATCTCATATGAGTCAATAGCCATATGTGCATGTAATACCACCAATAGTCTTGAGTAAATGGCCTCCATTTTCATGTAGTTCATTTTGTTGCTTAAGCAGGTAGTGGTGTCTAAAGTGATTTATGCTTCATCAATTTGTAGCAACACACACCAAAGGAAATATGGTAGCTGATCCATTTTCAACCACCCTATTTTTGACCAATAAGGTAGGATATTTCTGCAAGTTTGGCATCTTATTTATGACTAGTTCTGACACCCTTTTGGTCGGAAAAACATCCAGTGCTTGTTAAGTTTATAATGTTTATAACCATGGAAAAGTGTCGCAAGATGAAGTGGATGTATTCCAATTTAGGTGGCAATTGTTGATTGGTTGAGATGGAATTCAAGTTCAGCTGGAGCTGGTTGAAGTCCAGTTACCTCATCTACACATTACAACCAGTTACTTCATAAGTAGCACAAAATTAGGTGAAACTTGATAGCATAATAAGGTGCCACACTTCTCAATTATGAGAAAGGAAGATTCTCAATTTTGTAATCCATGATTGATCAAAATTAGGTTGGCCTATATGTTATATTTGGATTTAAGAGAATCTTCAGCTTAAACATTTATATAAATTCCATTTTTGGACCAAATTGTGTGAAAACACCTAAAATCCTCTTGATTTCTATTTCTCTACATGGGGATATTTTCCTTTAATTCTTACACTAGCTACATATACATTGAAATGCTTAAGTTATTGGAAATGAGTTGGCTACCTTAGTTGGTCACATTTGATCCAAGGAGAACTGATCTAGTGGCATTAAAATTAAAATTAAAAACTCAGCAGACACATGATTGCATTAGGAACCACAGGTGGAATGAGTCACTATGGAACCATTACTGTGCACATAGTTTAGGGCACAGTCAACAGCATTATCTCCAGTAGTGAATTCAATGTGCACGGCTTTTCTAGTACACTTTTGAAGAAGAAAAAATGACCCATCAAGGATTTCCTTCATAAACGTCAACAGAAACTGATAAAGACTGAAAAAAACTTTTAGATGAGGAAACAAAAGTTTGTTTATGGAGGGGGAGATGTCGTTTCATGTGTCGTATTCAAGCTCTCATCTTCTGCAATTGAAGCATCCCAACTACGATATTTGTGCGGTGTATCTGCTCCAAGTCCACTTAGAGCATGCTACAAAACTTTGAATATTTTGATGAAGGATGCAGATGTCATTGAATTTCGTCATGGTTTAACCTTCAATGTAAAACTTCATGTTAACTGTGGAATCGTGAAGTCCACATAATCTTTGAAATAGTAACGATGAGACTTGAAGGATCATTGTTTAGCAATCTTGTGCAATTGGGTCTAAAATCCCCATACCAAGATGAAGAATAGAACATTGGCCACAGATGAAAGGTCGCCAATGGACATCGAGAATAACAATTATTGTTCTCTGAGCTGTATTGCAAGATTATGGTACAAATGATAATGAAGCAGTCAAGTCATAAGAGTGTTCTTAACGAGGAAAGAGAATGTATTCGATCTGAAAACCGCAGATGTTTCTTCAATCCCTTCCAGTAGCCGGGAGGTACAACCATATATAATCTTCAAACCGAGCCCGTTGCCTGTGACTCGAAGCTAAAGTAGCCGGATATACAAACTAACCCAGTCCTTGTGCATAAGTGTAAAACCCACGTTGCTCAAGTTGAATTTAAACGTACAAATGGCGTTCACTTCAGCCCCAGGCGTGCGTAACCAAATGACAGAGTTGCAGTACCAACTACTTACTCTGGGGGCTTGAAAACATAGGAACAGCTTCTGAAGAAGCTGCATCCTGAGCATCGTTGGAGGAGACTTTAACTAAAGCATTCCAATGCATGCAAGGTTGAGGACCACAAATATAAACCTTAGCTTAACTCCGGATTTGTTCTCCCAACACCGAAATAAGGATCAAATACATTAACACGAGCCCGATACAACTTTCCAAATTACGAAATCGTAGATAGACCAACACTCAAAATGCACACATTGGGATACAGCAATCCTTTTAACGATTGGTAGAATTTATTCCACAAAACCAGATAAATTAGATCTTCTCTGCAGTTAAATTACCTGTCACGTAGCTTTTGTAAGAAACGTACTAAACCTTTGCGCCGTAAACTACACCACTCAGCCTAATTTATCTAACTACACATTTGTACACACCTTCAGCCATACATACATTCGCGGCAAGAAAGAAGCATCCACTCTTCGTGTATGCGCACCACAATCGACAAACTAATCGTAAGCAAGCTTATCTTCATTTCTACGATTGGAGTTTGTGAATTCAGCCGGTTTCACAGTGCCTGCATCCGTTAACCCCTTGAACGCCTGCATTACAGAGGGCAAGAACCTGTAGGACACAGAAACAATCCCTGGCAGAACACCATACTGAAAATGGCGGTTGAGATCCAGTTGGACCCACAGTGCCTTAGCGATCAAGAAAACTACAAACACAATAGGAAGATAGATAGGGTTGCGGAGCACTGCCATGATCTCGTTGAATCCCAGACAAAGCATGGCGGCGATGGCCCACGGGGGCGGCAACCATGCATTGCCTTGCCGCTTCGCTTCCTGAGCTGAGAGTGCCTGGCTGATGGTATACTCCGTCTCGGCTCTAAATTGGCGCCATATGCTTCTGCATTGCGAGGGAGTGAGCATGGTATCCTCAGGAGCGATACCAGCCCATGTGGAGGATGCCAGAGGGTTTGAGCTTACGGAGCCATCAACAGAAGAGCCATCGGAGGAAGAATCCGAATCACCAACTAGGGTCATGAGGGCGCCTTCGACGCTGTCTTGGTCGGAATTAGGGTTTAATCGAATGGCAGCGATTACTGCAAGCATCTTGAGAGCACCCACTCTTGCAGATTTTGTGATGGCGCGAACGTTATGCTCCTCGCCCCAGACACGAGGAAGCGAGTCCTCGTCGTGGCCGAAGATATTGTTGAAGCGGTCCTTCATTCGAATTAGAGCTTGGGAGGCTTCCTCCTTAGCTTTTTTCACTACGATAGCGCGGGAGTGTTCGGACAGGTCTGAGAGGACTTGCTTCTCCTCGTCTTCGGTGGGCTCGAATGCAGTGAGTTCTTCCAGAAGAGCTTTCGTGACTTTCTCAGTATCGCCCTCCACGAGCACTCGAATGGATGCCCAAGCGTCTGCGGGAGCTGCATCTAGGATCGCGGCGACTGGGTCTGCAATGGCATCCTCCAAACGCTTCTCGTATTTCGATTTCAGCGATTGCAACGCCTCAGCTCTCAAGGATTCCGCATGTGCGTCGATGTCGCGCTTGAGCTTCTCCCGTGCTTTGGATGGATTCCAAACCGATGATGCTTGAGACACACTCAAATCTGCTAGCAAGTATCAGACTCCTCATCAATTATGGCATGATAGACTGAACGTTAAACAGATCTTTCAAACGAGCACTAAATTTGAATATATAAATCATAATTGAAAGATTGCAAAACTTACCGACGCACGCTTGGTCGAATTCAGTCAATGAAGTCTCAGAGCATTGCCGAACAGCAGCCGCAAAACCCTGGTTCGAGGATTCAACCACGGCTCGCAAATCCTTTTTGAATTTCTCCAACGCGAGAGTGCGATGGTTCATGATTACAGCATCGTACGCTGGCTGGATCATCTCAAGTGCTTCCGAGATGAGATAATTCCGCTTAGCAATCCTCACGCCCTCGTCGAAGAATCCTGCCTCGAGATCATACTCCGAAACATACTTATCTAATATAGAACTTACTTTCTTCCCAAACTCAGGCACCACACCCTCCCTGGACGCCTCCTCGATCATCTTCCACTTTTCATCCTTCATCAAGCTCTGAAGCTTCTCATGCGCAATCTCCTCACACCGCACTGTCGCCACCATAACCTTGTGCGCCGGCAGGTCCAAATCCTTGTTCTCCTTAATTACTTTCCAAATCTCATGCGCACTAAAAGGAAATCCAGTACCCGGCACCACTGCTCGCCTATCTCCCGCCAACCCACCCGGCGCTACAGAATTATGAAACCGTTTCCTCAGCTGCTCAACCTCTGCGTTAAATTGTTCCTCCTTCTCCTCATAATTCGACAGCGCCGTTACTACGACATTAAAAAACTCTGTCAACGGCGTGTCCTTATGCTTCCCGGGCTTCGGCACACTATCCCAAATCTTCTGCACGTCGTCTCTTAATATCGGCTCCAAAACCTCCATGGGCGTCTTCGTTTTATCCCTTATCACAAACATCAAAGTGGTCTTCCTCGGAGAAAATAGCCTCATCATCACCTGAAACACAATCTTCAACAAAGGCTTGTTGGATGCTTGCTCCCGCCCAATATCATGACACCACATGTTGATCAACATAATATCCGCCACCGCCAGAGAAAACAGAGCACTCTGCTTCTCAAACGCCGTGTCATCTTCCCCCCTCTCCCTCCCATCCGTCCCCTCCAAATCCATCACCAAAGTGCACGGATCTATCCCTTCTGCTCGCTGCAGCCACACTCCCTTCGTGGTCTGATTCCGCCCCGTCAACGCGTCCATCTCCTTGAAGGAAGTATGAAACAAATGGTTCAGCAATGTACTCTTCCCAGAGCTCTGCGGCCCCATGATCGCCACCACCGCATAGGAGAGTCCGCATTCTGCAAGCTTCACTGCCTTGCAAAAATCCACCAGTGCAGGCTCATTAAACTTCCCCTCCTCGTCTATCACTTGAATCGCTGGTGCGTCCGTTGGCTCCATCGCTCATGGAAACTCAGAACTCCTCTCAACACTACCCAAACTTTCAATATCTTCAAAAAAAAAAAAAAATCAAAGCGAAGCAAATCCACCGACTCTACTCCAAATTTCGCAAACCCTCACAATCCTCCACAACCCCTCAACCCTTTCAATCCCAGGAACAAGACTCTCAACTCGGTCCTCATCCGGCACACAAATGAATAACTTCCGTTTTTCAGTTAGATCCCTCCACTTTTCCCTACAAATTTTCTACTACGTTACACATATTCTAGTGGTTCCTGCCAGCTATACAGAACACGTCACCACAACACTATATCAACCCTTTAAGAACACGCCGTCTGGAAATCTACTTGTCCGTTCATATAGCTAACAGCTGGTCTAAGGTGACCACATGTCTCCGAACTGTCCGAACAAGGATCGCTAATGCGAAATCCTAAGCTGGAAATCGTTTCTGCTTTCGAGTAATGGATGGCGAGTCCCTGGCCGATGATTTAGGGTTTGCGTTGAAGTTCTCCGTTGTTTGAATAGGGTGTGTGTTGTCTGCACACAAGTGGCAGAGTAGGAAGGCATTAGATTTGCTGGGTGCAGGGGCTGCATCCACGCAGGCGTGGTGAGATAAATTTGGCAAACATTCACACGGCTTGTAATGAAGGATAGATATTGATTGAGATTCTGGCATAGTCAGAGTAACAAGAATCTATTGACTTAGACTTGGCAAGATCTTTCATTTTGCTAATTGTCCTGTTTCAGTGCCTTTTCCGGCAATCAATCCGACATATGAGATTTTCGGATAGATGTTACCCATTCTTTAAGGATGGATATTTAAACTTCCCTAGGGTTACAGATTTGTAACTACTCCATTTTCTAATATATTGTTACTTCCGAATACAGTGAGTAGTCATCGGAAATTTACTTGTACTTAAAGGAGTAATAAATGTGCGTATATAATGTGAATTGTGGAAGTTAAGAGGTGGTGTCTAATGTGATGTTTCTGCCACCGTTGATAGAAATATGGGATGTTGCATATACTCCTTTCCGTTTAGGAACCATCCAACTATTCCTTTCATCGTGTTTGTTACTGATACAATTAAAGAGGTGCAGAGTGCGCCACATTCTTTCATATTGAGAGACTAGGATACTGTGTCCAAATACTCGGTTGAGGAATGACAAGTGGGTGAATAAAACATGAAGGATATTGTTTTTGCCCAACAAATAAAACGCCGGGTGTCAGAACAAGTAAACAGTCATGGGAGAACCAATAATAAATGAAGTATCCATCGATACACTCAATAGACACACTAGAACTGAGAAAAACGCAAGCCACAATAGTCGGAATTGTATGGTCAGGCGGCCACAGGCCAGCGTGGTTTACTCATGCTCACATTGTATTTTCAGATGTCAATCTCAACCCAGATTTACTCCAAAAATGAGGACAAGATTCTACTCACTAATCAAAACTGCAAAGATGCAAATAGGTGCTACAACAGGTCCTACTCAGATGCCACAAGCGAAAAAATCACTTGAAGCACTTGGCCTCCAAGAGCTTTTCGCCTTGGATCGTGTCAGGCTCTTCAAAGTAGGCATTCACAAGTGCCTTCTGCTCTTCGTTGTTGATATCAACCTTGGTCCAGTCGTAAAGCTCGGCATCATAGACCTCATCCAAAACCATCTGGGGCATCTCTAGTCCCCGGAAGAGCCAGACTCCCTTGATCTTGTAGGGGGCTTCCTCGCCAAGGATGCACATCTTTCCAAAAGCGTATTTCCTCATCAAATCCATTCTTTGAAGGAATCCTCCAACCTTGTTCATGGTCACAAACGTAACTTGGTTTTCATCATTGTACTTGTAATCACAGAACCACAATGAGTAACCTTCAGCATCGAACATCTCCCAGAAACCTGTCACAAGCAATCATCAGCAATATTAATGGGTCGGCACAAATTTAAATTTCAGGAACGTAGAGGGCATTTTCGAAATCCAGAGTGCAGATTCAAAAACAAGCTCTGCAAACACGCCAGGCCCATACAGAAAAAACAGACAAAATACAACACAAAAGATCACGTCAACAGAGTTGAACATACACAGTCACTGTCAATTCGGACTATCGTACGAAAATCACATGACTCACCGCTAATTGCCAAGTGGAAATCCTTCGCCTTAGTGTTCGAGTACAGACGCTTCCAGTTATCCAAAACCATTGGGCTGGGTGGGAGTAAATCGAGAGAATTCTTTGCTTTCTTCACTGGGGCAGCCTCCTCATCGTCCACAGACTCGGGTGCGGGTGCAGGTGCAGACGCAGGCTTAGGGGCTGGCGCAGCCTTCTCTTTTTTCTGCTTGGGAGCAGATTCTTTCGGAGCTGCTGTCACCGCTGCCGCAGGTTTCGCGTCCTGAGCAAGGGGTGGTCCCAAAGGCTGGGCAGCTTGGCTGACTTCCCCAATGATTTTCTTGAAGTTTGGTTGGTTGACTAGCGTCCAGAAGTATCTCTCTACGTGGGGGAATTCAGACGTGAATTCCTTCGTGGCGGCCAACTTCACGAGCACTATCATGTTGCAGGTTAGAACGATATCGGCGAGTGTGATAGATTCGCCGACCAAGTATGTTCGGGAAGCAAGGTGTGCGTTCAAGAAGGTCAATGCTCTTTTCAGGTTGCTGATTTTCGATGCCTCTACCTGCAGATTTGTATGTATGTACACCGGCGTTAGACCAATCTCGCATTGGGATAGAACAGATCTTTCTGGGAGAGTACTTGTTCACACAAACAAATAAGTGCACCAGTGGAACAACTATTGCATGGACACAAAAGTGTGCTGTGCCAATTGAGGTACAGTAAATTATTACAGATTGTTCGTGAACAGGCTTTACAAAGCTGTGCAGCCAATGTACATGTGAAGCTAACAGAATTTGACGTACAAGGAGAATAAAAGTGACTTAGGACAGACATTGAAGGAATCCTAGATAAGATTCAAGCAAGTAGAATCAGTACCTCCTCATTGTAAAGCCCAAATCCAAGACGAGGATAAACCCATCCTCCGGCGTTGACGTCAATCTCCATGGTGGCGAAGTCGATCCATTGCTCGACAAGGGCCTATTGTCACAATCCGTATGTAGATTGGATCAAAAGACGGTGATATGTTAACGCCTATCGAGCTTAAACATTTCCATTTATGATCAACCGTTTAGGTCTGATGCTTACCTTTTCGTAGGCTGATGAACCGACAAGGCCTACGTCCTTCTTGTTAGCCACTGCATTCATGCAATGCCATAATTAGGGACTGAATAGAACCCGAGATGTGAAGATGTACATAAACATGGGGCCACGAAAATGAACAAGATGTACGGACACTAACCATAGCGAGCCATAGCGTTGCTCTCGAATATGGGTCCCTCGGGCGTCTGAAGCACTGGAACCTGCAAACACATTAAGCGCAGATTTTAAAAGCTGTTATGTTGTGTCTGTAGACATCAAATGGCATTGAACAAATTCAAGGTGCCCCAAACGGATGATTGGATGCTCCGGAATTCTTTACAGACATCAGAAAAGCTTTCCTCGTTCTTTGGCTTTCAGAGGGCTAGTTGAGTTGGCTGAGCGGACAGAATCAGTCTGGCACAAGACAGTTGCGGATCTCGGACTATGCTTCACAAGTAGCATGGGATCCCAATATTCTTACGAGAACCCTCAAGAAGATGTTGGATATTTATTTCGCTCTTGATCGAGCTCAACGAGTATGATTACACTCCAACGGACCAAGACAACATGAGGCAGAGTCCAACATTAAATCCATACGATATCTGTACATCTATACAGATGTGCGTTTAACTAACGTTTCAGTTAAATTTCCCATTTAAGACATCCGAGTCCGGAAATGACAAAAACCACCCCTCAAGTCGTGTTTCACTAAGATCACCTTCTACTGTTCTCTTAGATGTCAACAACACAAGAATAATTTCTCAGATCGATCCCTACGAAGTCAGTCCCAACCTCAACCTTCACATCCCACTAGTCGAAAAAGCCTCACATATTATCGACTCAACTCAAAGAGAACATCGAAAATGTACTTGTACTGTGAGCAAATATAGTAAAAAAAATTATAATTTTGTGGCTATTTGAACGACAGGTTCGGGCAAGTACCTTTCCAATGGGATTCATCTTCAAAAACTCGGGAGACTTGTTGGTCACTCCCATCTGGAAATCAGGGACGATTTCCACCTTGACGCCGACATACTCGGCGGCAATCAAACTCTTGTATGAGTTCTTGTTGACTTTCTGGGAGTGAATGACCTGCTTGCGAATAGTGAAAAAAAAAACACGCCACCTCAAGTCAACACATCAAACTCCACCATAACCACCTAAAAACTCCAAAAGCCTTAGCAGACCACCAGAAAACCTCTAAAACCCCACGACATTTGAGGGCAATCAACAGATAAGACTAAAAGAAACGCCGCAATGCGATCACCGTCTCCGAAGAAACAAATTAGCAGGGCGAGAGAGAGGCGTACCAGTCCAGCCATCGTGACAGGGGCACCAAGGCAGACGAGCCGGCGAGCTCAGTGTGAAGGTGGCGAGATGGGAGAGAACGAACAGTAGCAATAGGTGAAGAAAACTGTGGCGGCTGTGTGGGAAGAGAGCTTTGTAGGGTGGCAAGGCTTAAGAAAACCCTAGAAACGAACCCCCCGATGGTTGCAGCGCCACTCCAGTGGGTCGACCCTTTCCTCTCGCTCTTTCTCCAACCCCCTCCCTCGGTTAAACACCTTCACCCCGTTGGGCCCAGCAAAACTATCATTTTTAGCAGTTACCAACAAGGGAATGTTCCTTCCGCTGATACTTCATCCGTTTGCTTCGTCAGATGTCGTCGCTTCCACGCATCATCGTCGTCGTTGTGGCCTCTGCTTCTTCAATCATCGGCAAAGAGCTTGCGACGAACTTAAACGTTCCAGGCTTGGCACACACACTCACTCTTCGATCACTGCAATCCGACAGAGTGCAACATCGCTGGAAAGTGCACTTCCTCGGGGGAATTTTTAGGGTTGAATTTTGAGGGGTTTGCTCTACTTCTTCTTCTTCTTCTTCTTCATGTGTCGACATTTCTGAAGGTGAATTGCGAGTGGGCGAAAATCGTCACTGGTGCATCCAACGAAATCAATCCCACAGGATCTCTCGGAAGACGAAAGCTGACAAAACTACGAGAAGAAAAAATTCTTTCCTTTTTCTCTTTTTTTTTCATTCCCGCATTCAAGCCGAACCACGCCGCGCAAGCCGCCACCAGGAGGATGAGAAGTGAGGTGGACGAACATTTAAAACGGGTTTTTTAATGAAAGAAGTTTGGTTTAAGTGTAAAGATATTTCAGTATACTTGTTTAATTTGTTAATCTAACGGTGATGAGAATAGTCAAAGCATACAAGGGTAGTCTTAAGAAATGTCTACAGAAAATATGGTGTAGTTTAGTAAATTATTATGGTGTGATTTAATGAGTTAATGAAAATAATTATGTTCAAATCCAAGTCTTTTCTTTTTTTTAATTTATTATTGAAGAGTACTCTTACCATATCGAAGAGAATATCTACCACATAGTTAATATTTGATTATGTACTAATATTTACTTAAAATTGGTTTATTTTCAATCTAACTCAAAGACATGTGACAAACATTAATTATAGGTTAGAGCCCTCTCTTTGGAATTGAATCCTTGTGAATTATAATTTGTTAATAGACAATTATGAGTACATAAAGTTTAAATTTGCTTTTGCAAATCTACACATAAGAACATTAAAAATAATTATATAGTTTGGTAAAATATGTTGGTCTTTAAAAGACAATTGATGAATATAATAGAATAAACTTAATGAAAAGAATGGCTAAAGTTATCGTCCATATCTAATTCTACCAATAAATTATTAGATTGATTATTAAAACAAAAAATATATAAATAGTCTAATAGTTAATTTTTGGATATAAATATTTTCTATTTAATTTTTTTTTGTGCATATGCATTAGAATTTAAGCCATTTAAATATGATGTTATATTAAAATATAATAGGTTAATATTTACAACAACTTATTATCACGGACATATGCATATAAGCCAATAACTACTTATATAAATAAATAGAAGTAAGTAGAAGTAGGTAAAAACAAGTTAATTCTATAATATCTTTTATAGAAGCTTTCTAGAAGCTTTATAGATGTTGCTTTGTCTCTATAGGTATCTTTAATTGACTTTTTGGATTAGAAATGTAGTCAACAAGTTGGCCATGTGCCACACATGTTGTTAGCTAGAAGACCAAGCTAACTATGTGGCCCACACGTAGAAAAATTTGACTTGTAAGTCAAGGCATGTGTCCTACAAAGTCAACACATATTGGAGGTCCTATAGAACATTACCACATAGCCCCTAGTTAAATAGTATATATAGAGAGAAAAGTGAAGCCCTCTTCACTCTTGTCAACTCCTTTCTTACTTATAGTCTAATTTCAAGAGTCTCAAGTTTTTTTGTCCTTTGGCAATAAGCCTTTTCAATTTATTTTAATATATGTACTCCCTTATTTCTATTTTGTCACTCTATCTTTGACACAGATTTCATTGGTTTATGCATCATCTTTTAATTCATCTCCTTGAAACATTGACAAGAGTGCACTTCTAGTTTCAAAGCTTTGTCTTGTCTTGATTAAGAGTGGATTACCCATTTCTCATGATAAGACATAAGCATATTAGAAGTGACAGATTATCCTCTTCTAAACTGATATTGTTTCTAGTATTTTTTTTGTCTTCAAGTCTTTTCTTTTACTTGTCTTGAATATTATTAGATATTTTTTTGAGTGTTATTATGACAGAGCTCGTTGAAATGAAGAGTGCAATGGCACAAATGTAAGATCAATTGAAGAAAATGATATTTGCAATACATCAACTTAGCTTACCACCACAAGGATCAACAAGAATAGCAGGAAGTGAGGATATAGAGATGATTAGAGTTGCTTCAACATTTGTACCAAATCATGTCCTTCCACCCATGGTAGAATATCCCTCAAGTATTAGAGAACCAAGAGTTGCTTTGTCCAAGAAGTTTGATGTTACAAGATCCAAATTTTGAGGATTTAATTATCAAGTACAACTTGTGATTGAACTTCAACATCAAAGCTATCTAACTCCAGGATCACAAGTTAGATTCATTGGCATACTTCTTTCAAGTTCAGCACTATCATGGTTTTCATTTTTTCCTTGAACAACAAGATCCAATATTGGATAATCTGGAGGTATTTTTAGTAGAATTTTGATCTATATATAGAAAACATGATGCAACTTGTGTTGTGATCAACAAGATCCATATTTTGTGATAAGAAAATCAATTTGTAACATTATATGCTTCACAATTTTGACAACTTGCAACTGATATCAAGTGGAATGATGCTCCACTTATTAGGTAAATTCTCCATGGATTACAATATGAAGTAAAGAAATTGATGCTCAACTTATCAGATCCTTAAACATTGACTCAAGCAATTGACTTTGTTGTGAAATGCGATAATCAATTTTTTGAATTTCGACTTGAGAATCATATAAATGGGCCTCAACGTTACTACAATTTGATGGCAATACCAACATCTCCTCAACACATACATTCAAAAGTAGAGGATATGAAAATTGATGCGGTATATTTTTAACCTCTTATTGAGCAAAAAAAGACTCATCGTTGTCAAGAAGGATTATACTTATATTATCGAGAATCTAAACACATTACTCAACATTATCCAAAGAAGTGACAAAATTATAAAATGAAGAGCAAATCTGTCAAACAAGACAATGTGTTAAAAAATGAATTTGTCCAACTATAATAGAGACCGTGCAGTTGGAATCTTGTACAATTTCTAATGAAGGTCCTATCCTCTCTTTAGAATCCTCTCTTTATTTTATAATAGATGTGCGTTTAGGACCTAATAATTATAAAGCCTATGCCTTGATAGATTCAGGAGCCTCAGCTTGTTTCTTAGACATAAAATTTGTTAAAGGTCATAAAATATTGTTAGTATAAAAAACCAAACCTGTTCATGTAGAAGTCATGAGATGGTCATTCGTTGTCTTTTGGAGATGTTACTCATGAAATATTTCTTATAAATGTAGAAATAAATGATTATAATAGTTACATAATCTTTAATATAATTAAATCTTCCTCTAATCCAATCATTTTAGGTTTATCATAATTAGAAAATTATAATCCTTACATAGATTAGATTTCTCATACCCTTGACTTCTCTAAAAGCATAATTAAGAATAAAATTAATACAATAGAAAGTCGTAAGTCTAGTGTAATTAAACCTATGTTTGTAGGTGCAAGAGCTTTCTTGCATGCTACAAAAGAAGGGTCACCTTGTGTCATTTATGCCACACCTGTTTCTAATTATATGAAGACTTCAAGTAGCATTTCCAACTAATATGAAGAATTTCAAGATGTATTTGATAAGAAGAATGTAGATATTCTTCCAGAACATCATCCCTATGACTGTTCAATTGACCTTCAAAAAAGAGCACAACTGCCATTTGGACCAATCTATAGTTTATCACAAAATAAATTGATTGAATTCAAGAAATATATTGAAGAAAATCTCGCCAAGAATTTCATATGTCATTCCAAATTACTAGAAGGAGCTCCAATCTTATTTGTAAAGAAGAAAGATGGATCATTGCAAATATGTGTTGATTATCGAGGATTCAACAAGATCACCATCAAAAATAGGTATCATCTACTTTTGATATCTAGACTTCTCGATCAATTAAATCAAGCTAAGATCTATACAAAAATAGATCTATGAGGAGCATACCATTTAGTACATATTAAAGAAAGAGATGAATAGAAGATTGCATTTCGAACTAGGTATGGGCATTTTGAATACAACATCATGCCTTTTGGACATACAAATGCATCAATAGCTTTTTAACATCTAATAAATGATATTTTTTGAGAGTTTTTAGATGATTTTGTTGTTTATTATCTGATCGACATCTTGATCTATTCTAAGAATACATATGAACATGAACTTCATATTTGTCATATGTTACAAAAATTAAGAGATGAGAGATTTTTTACCAAGATAGAAAAGTGTGTATTCCACACTACTCAAGTCGACTTTGTAAGATACATCATCTCAAATGATGGACTTATGATGGATCCTAAGAAAGTTCAAACGATTATGGATTGGAAGATTTCAAAAACGATAAGAGATATCCAATGCTTTTTGGGCTTTGCCAATTATTATCGAATCTTCATCAAAGACTTTTCTTGAGTTGCAGCCCCACTTACACGTTTGACTTGCAAAGATAAACTTGAGTAGAGCAAAGAAGCTGAAGCATCTTTTAAAACTTTGAAGTTGTACCAATCTTATATTGTGTTGACTTTTCTAAGGCATTTTTTATGGAAACAGATATATCAAATTTTGCTTTAAGTGCCATAATATCACAAATGGGAACAGATGATAAACTTCACCTAGTAGCTTTTCATTCCAAAATATTTTCAATAGCCAAGATTAACTATGAAATTCATGACAAAGAGCTTCTTGCAATCATGGATTCATTTCAAGAATAGTATCATTATCTAGAAGGCGCTTTCAATCTAGTTATCATATATACAAACCATAAGAATCTTAAGTACTTTATGTCAGCACGAGTTTTGAATCATCGCCAGGTCCGTTGGAGCATGTCTTTATGAAGATTTGATTTCAAGATCACATATTGACCTGGAAAACAACAAGGTTTATGAGACGCCTTTTTTAGACATTTTTATCTTGCATCAAAAGAAGGAGATGCATCTTTTGATCAATAAAGAATAATTTTTTTGAAACTAGAGCATTTTTATCTTCGAGTAATAAAATCAACATTGACTATTGATTCAATCTTTATGA